ATTTGTATAATTTGAAAGGTACAAATTCATCATTCCATCATTTCAACCGTTACTGTTGAGGGGGACCGAGAGGGAGACTTGACAAAAGTCAATTGCTTGGGTACCACTGTCCCGTTCGTGTTTCAAACGTGAAGCAGTTGTGTTTGCATGGCTGTGTTTCGGTTTGAAGGGTGGGATATGGCGTGAATTTACAGGGTACAGAGGAATAACACCTGAGTCCTCAGGAATGGCAACGCATAGGGGGTATCATGGGCGAAACAGTATACTCTGTTATGTCCACGGTACTGCTCATGTCTATAGGCGACGGTTACCACTTTCCATCAGGTGGGCCGTCAGCTTGTTTGCCATTCTAAGGTGTATATAAAAAAAATAATATATATATAAAAGATGTGTTAACTCGTCACCAGTCAGCAAAGTGTTAATTATGTAATTAAATTGTGGTAGAATTTTGTTTAAAACAATTAATTTATTCATTAAAGAAAACAAACCGCACATTCGTTAAAATATGACATTGAATTAAAATTTTTGAATGTAGCAGGATATTATAACCTTTTTGCTTATGAACAAAATGTATAAATATTTCTCAGCAGCGCTAACCGATAAAAACTCACTTGTTGTCGTACCAAGAATCGGAAAAAACCTTCAGAACAATGTAAAAAACGTGTTTAGGTTATGAATGCAACTTTGAATGGCAAATAAGCTGACGGTTCACCTGATGAAAAGTGATAACTGCTGACTATAAATTGTAAACATGAATAATGCTATGGAGAAACGGAAAAGTGTCATAAACTGCAAAGAAATGACGTCCATGGTATCCCCTTATGTTGTTATTCCTGAGAACTAAGATATTATGCTCCCATATTTTGTAATTTTATTGTCTTAATACACCATATCAGCCTGTAAGTGCTGACTATACGCCCCCCCAATTGGGGTGGGGGGAAAGGGATTGTTAGCAATGGAGTTTGACAGCCTCATTGCTAGCAATGTACGCTATTAGGTCGACCTCCACGTGGTTCCCCCTGGAAACAATCGTGAACAATTCTTGTTGAATTCGTCACGATGGGCTTACTGACCTGTTTCCTCCTCATCTATCATTCTTCACTGGTACCCCGCCACTGTATACCGAGAGCGCGGGTGGGGATACCATTTCATTATCACCCAAAATACAAATCCCTATTGGGGTTTTGTCAGTAGTTTTTACACTTGGCAGGCTGGTTGGCAACCGCAGTTAGGCTTTGGTGGTGTTTTAAAAGGGATGCTGCTACACATCCATTGACCATTAAATTTCCTTAGTCGCCTCTTGCGATATTATTCATTTCATTGTCTTAATAAGGTTCTATGAAAATATCATATAGCTTAGCTTTAACGTAATGTTTGCGCTTAACGCATGCGCAGAATTAAAAAAAAAAAAATACAAATTAAATAATTATGTTCACGATTATAATTCTAGTTTGAGTTTGTATTCTTCAAGTAAACATATTAAACTTTACCTAAACAATTATAGTAAATATTATTTTATTGTTTAATAAGTTTTTATCCGCGACTTCGTCCGCGTGACCGATAGACATTCACTGACCGGGGTAAAAATTCTTCTCCATCCTATATTATATATGTATTGCAAACTTCATAGTAATATGTTAAGCCGTTATGACTCAATAAAGTAACAAACAAACACAATGTCATATTTATAATATTAGTAGGAATGTATATAGTTTTAGTAACAGACTATTTATTTAAATTAAGGCTGTATCGCATTCGCAGATATAATCTTTAGAGGAAATTTGCACGAAACGTGTTCAAGATTCGTGCTGTATTTTTCGGATATCAGCATGATCATATAAAAATAACTCTGCACTGGGTGCCAAGTTCAATGTCCTGGCGTACGTTATGTATAAATTCAACGTTTTATTTGTCCATAAATTCGGCAGTAAAACGCATTTTGAGAAATGTCATTTGGTGAGTTTTTGCTCAACGTCCGATATAAAAGTGCGCGGACATAGGTGGCGGGAATGGCCATTTTGTAAAGAATTAAATACGAGACGAACATTTATTTAATTTTTTATTTGAATCTACAACAAAAAATACCATAATACAATAAATTTGAAGGTATAGAAATTGTTGAAAATAGGGAACAAAAACATAATTATGTCTTATTAAGTTTTTAACTAATGACGTATTTTAATGTTATTGTTGTGCCATAAGAAAGGGGGAAAAATGTTGTTGTTGTTGTAAAATTCGTTCAAATTAGATAGGCAAAGAGCATAGCTTATACAGCCCAGAATTAAGCTTTTATTAGTTGCTTATAAATGGTAAGATAATTAATTTAGCCGTATTTAAATGTCGAATTTTAAATATTTTGAACGTCGTAGACAAAGAATGCTAGATAGCTTAATCTATAATTAATATGTTTGTTTTTGTTCGTATCATTATGTATTATAGGTACTTCTAAGTTGTTTTCTGTCCAATAAAGCCTTTCTTTTTTTCATCCTATTTCAAAAAGAAGGAAGTTTTTGGTTGTATTTTTTTATGTCACCCTCCCTTAGTAGATTTTTACGACATCGACAGGAATTGAAGGGGTGATCTATTCTCCGCCGGGACCACACGGTAAAAAAATCTATTATTGCGTACGAATGCTGGCAATTGAGAAAATCTTTATTTAAAAATAAGAGCAACTGAATTATTTAATATTGGATACCATATCTCGGTCAATATATATCGAGCACTTAGTTCACCTTAAAAAAAAAAAAGAAACTAATGTAAAAGCGATCGCAGCTATATTCCGACAGCGGGGGCGTAGTTGCAATACGATCGTATCGGTAATGTTACAAAATTGTAATAATTCCACAAAGCAAGACTTACAAGGACTTATTATATGTGCAGTTTTATACTTTTTTGCCTGATATTTCGCGTGCGTGATTTTCAGAAGTAGAAAAACCAATAAAATAGACTATAATATATATGGTGTATCCAGATTTTTTTTTTATTTATTCATAAATAATCCTGAGTCCTCAGGAATGGGAACGCATGGGGTGACCAAATTAAATATTTTTTTTTAAAATATTATACCGATATCGATGAATTTTTTATTGGACCACTCTGAAAGGATATACTTTTACATTGGTCACATAAAAATTATTAAAACAGTTTGATTACATATTAGACTGACTACCAGAGGGAGACTTTGTATGAAATTTGTTTGCTTGGGCACCTCTGTCTATTCGTGTTTCCACCATGATGCACTTGTGTTTGCATGGCTGTATTCCGGTTTGAAGGGTAGGATATGACAGTTAATTTACAGGGTACAGAGGAATAACACCTGAGTCCTCAGGAATGGCAACGCATAGGGGGTATCATGGGTGAAACAGTATACTCTGCTCATGTCTATAGGCGACGGTTACCGCTTTCCATAAGGTGGGCCGTCAATTTGTTTGTCATTCTAAGTTGCATAAAAAAAGACTGATTTCGTACTTAAACGAGATAACAGATTGTTATCTAGATATACTGTCAGAGATTACTTAATATTTGCTAGACTGCACAAACCAACCTTGACTGGTGAAAGGTTAGGTGGCCGCTTGGAACGCAGCTGGCTGTATATGTGGATATCCTTGCTCAGAGTTCCAGTTTTGCGACAGACATAGATAATGACTATCTCATATATTGACTGACTGCGCATGTCATAGATTAAGAATAATACATGCCGTGGAAATCATAGATAGAAACGTAACACAGAGGCGGACCAAAAACTAGTAATTCATCTGAGAAAAAATCAATCATATTTAGTGTGCGTGTAATTTAAATGTGTAAAGTTCTGTATTTGCAAGGAATTGAAGTAGAATAAGTTATTATTTGCCGTGTGGTCGTGGTATAAAATGGCCCACCCCTTCCTTTCTCATGGGTGTCGTAAGAGGCGATTAAGGGAACTTCCCTTAGTCGCATCGTAAAACACCAAAAATCTAACTGCAGTTATTCACGTAAATTAAGACACTCGATTAAAAATACTAGCAGGCAAATCGAGGTTAGAAATAATGTCTACATATTATTTAGGTTTGGGAAAATTTTTTTTTTATTATATCTTGTAAACTGATACTCGATTCGGATGTCTATTGAATTATTAATAACAATTGTTAATATATGAATAAGATTTAAAATATTAGTTTAAATAAATATTACACCAGTCACAATATTCTTCGTAGAAAGCATCACAACGTCTTTTCGAGTTTTCTTTAAGAGGTGGAAAGTCACGAGTTTTTCTTGCAATTTCTAAGAGCGGTTTTCACCGTTTACGGCGACTAGAAACTGTATTTGAAGAAACGTTGTACGCAAGAACTATTTGTTGATAGTAGACTTATAAAATAGTTAATGTTTATGTTTTATTAGGTATTTGTTTAGTATTTTATTTAAAAAAATATATATAAATAAATGGTTAAGAACAGTAATGGTAAATTATAACTGGTTGCTTTATTATATTGTTATGCGTTATTATAATGTAATTGTTTATATTTATAATAAATTTACTGTTGTAATCTTTTGGAGGAAACAATAAAGAGTATCTATCTATCTATCTATATTCTAAATTTAAATTACAAAAAAGTAAAGATTGTAAAAAGCTAACAATCTGGAGGGAAATTTTTGATTGGGTCCCCAATTATGTATTATAGCCTAGGTTTATATTTTGTTTTTTATTATAAAAATAATAATAATAATAATAAACGATATTATACGATCACAAAGTACATATCTCTGGTTTTACCATAAACTAGCGATTTGGCTTCGCATGGATAGATATATAGAAAGATAAATTAATATTTTATTATTATATATTACTTAGATATATTAATGTCAAATTGAATGAATTACGGCTTTAATAGACAAATTTTTGATACCTTGGGTTACATTATTTTATTGTCATTTTCATAAGGATCTCTGATTTTTATTAATAGAAAATATCCTTTAAAGATATTTAAAAAAAAATATTCAAAAACTTTTTTATTTTTTTTCAGAACAAAGATGGCGCCACTGCTATGGTGTGTACTGATGTGTATGGTGGCGGTCGCGCGGACTCAGTCTAACTATGGCTCGCAGGCGAACAATATAGAGTACCAAGGCGAGGGGCTGCCCGAGCAAACAGTGCTGGATGGAAAGGTTGGTTCTTCTTATAATCTCGATGTATAAATAAGTAAAAAAAACGGCCAATAGCCAACCATATTAATGATTTTTTTTATGAGTGAAAATGGTATGGTAACGGTAACTCCACCTGCGCTAATGCGATACGCTGGCGGAGCACCAGTGAAGGGTGACAGATGAGAATGAAAACAGGCCAGTTAGCCCATCATGATGACTTCATCAGGAATTAACCTTGATAGTTTCCAGGGGGAACCGCAAGGAGGTCGACCTGGTTGGGTATATTGCTAGCAATGGAATTCTCAGTCTCCATTACTAACAATCCCTTTCCCCCATATTAATGATATTATATTATGATGATGATGATACAGCTGCTAATTTTTCACAACAGTCGCCCCCCCCCTTGGGGGTTTTGCCAGTAGTTGCTACGCTTTACAACTCTAATTAGACTTTTTTAATGGATGATAATGGTATGGTAACCCCGTCTGCACTATCGGTATACGCTGGCGGGGCACCAGTGAGAGGTGATAGGTGACGACGAAAGTAGGTCAGTTAGCACATCGTGATGGATTTTACTATAATAAACCACGACGGCTTTCAGGGGAACCACGTGGAGGTCGACCTGATAGGGTGTATTGCTGGCAATGGGTCATTGTAATTAGGCTGTGGTGAATGTTTTAAGTGGGATGCTGCTGCCCATCCCTTTACCATAAAGTTCCCTTAGTCGCCTCTTACGACACCCACGGGAAAAGAAGCAGTGGCCTATTCTATACCGGGATAACTCGATCATATGATATAATGCCATATATTTATGTATGTATATATATATATATATATATATATATATATATATATATATATATATATATATATATATATATATATCTTCAAAAAGTCAATGCCCTCATAAAATTTGGACATAAGAATGAAGAATGCTTGGAGCCATTTCGCGTGCAATAATTTTAGTGGTCGGTGTGTGATTTGGTGATTTTTAACTGTCACAGTTGATGTGTTTTTGGCTTTGGCGCCCAAATATTATACTGCGATAAAGTCGATTTTAAACTGTGCAATTTATTTTTAACTGATTAAGTCGATTAAATTAAACGGTCACTTTATGACGGACTAGCTATGCCCTCTGATTCACTTATATGAATCAATAAGTTCATAATGCCAAATATATGTGCTAAGTTAGAATATACCCTATATCCGTGTATTCAACTTAGTTCAAATCAGTTCAGTAGCTTTTGCGTGAAAAAGTAACAAACATCAATTTATACATACATTTATAGGTGTTTGTTTGATTTTCTACCTCCACGCATATCTGTTTTAGTTCGAAAGTAAAATTATGGCAATAAAATTACTGGATACTGAATTGAACTTGGACACTGAATTTTTGAAAATGGCAACACATTAGGAAAATATATTATTGTTTGCGATAATGTGACATGCCTAACTAAAATCCAAAGAATAAAAATTGTGTGAGTATAAATATTTACAAGGTTTCGACCAAGGAATATAATACTCTTCTAACTGGATCGTTACCGAAGACTTTTCCTCATAAACATGAACAGGGCATCTACCTGATGTACATATGTCATACACATTGAAGTAAAAAGTTGGAGAGCCGTGTCACAGACAGTCTATACCATTGACCATTACTGTGTTCTACGATACTATTCATGTTTATAGGTTACCTTTGTCTCTACAGATGGGCCGACTATGTATTGCACCTATAAGTGATAAAACAATTTCAATCATATGAACCTTTTTTTGTAATTAGAAATATTATGTACTCTTAATTTTTTAATTTGAAAATAGAACCCTTTCGTTAACCTACAACAGTAATGAATGGTTGACCACAATGTTCCGTTTTGTGGTAAAAATAAATTATACCTGTACACCGAAGAGAAGCGACACCATTTACAATATATGTACATATAATTATTTTATGTGTACATTTTTATTTTAATAACCCATTAAACTTAGTATAGTTGGACATAGCATTCTAGCGTACTATTTATTATCTCGATGGCTGGATTTGATATAGAATTTTCTTTCACTCGTTCGAGTCTTTATTATCTTTGCCACCTTTTCCAACAGAGTGCTGATATGCTGTTTTTAAATACTTAAAATTCTTCAATTATTTAGATATATATATATATATATATATATATATATATATATATAGATCGGTTTTATTTTTGTTGATGTTATAGGGTTATTTTTATGTATTTCTTTTCTTTTAATATGAGTAGCGGCATTTAAATAAATTATTAATAGTTTGTTGCTATAAAACTGTCAAAGTCATATTGTAAGCATAAATTGTTAGCATAGACAACGCGCTGTAGACGGCGAGACGAGATATTGTTATGACTATTGGTCAACGGGCAACTTGATTGATATAGCTATTACCGATACAGAGCCTATGGCTATTCATTGAACTAAGGTTGAAACCTCATCGCGTGCATAGATTTAAATTAAGAACGATGGTTTTTTCTTTTTTTCGTAACTACGTGTTTATGTCGTAGATAAAGAACTTCTTTATGTTTTTTTTTGTATATTAATCTGGAAATTAAATACTTAGACCTTTTTGGACAAATAAAAACAGTTCGTAATTTTAGCGGGAAATGCGATTTAGGAACGATTAGGAATATTTCTTAGCGCGCATCCGTACTGTGCGCGGATTGATATTATTTTTGAACGATTTTTTCTGCTGTATGTACGTGTAATTTCATTCGATTTTCACATGATGTATTCGATTTTCGTATTAAACGAAATATGTAGTAAAAATTCGTAGTGTGCGCATTGGCACTATTAATTTCTTCAGTGAGGAATCAATTTTATATTATATAAAAGATCTGTACTTCCTATTATGTTGAATTTTAAATTATTTTATAATAAGATTTATAACTATTGAGAGGAGATTATACTCGCCGAAGACGTTTGCCGCCATAAATAACGTAGTTTTGACGTATCGAATTACGAAATGGAAATAGAGTAGTAGACATTTGCCTCGGGACAGTAATTGGTGTTTAGAATTTATAGCTGTTTTTTATGCAACTAAAACCTATTTTCAATGGTTTTTTTTTAAAATTATGGCTCAAGAAATAAGAGCTAGTTGGGTGGGTAAAATTAATGCAAAGAAGGTGTAAACCTTAGATGTTTATGTCCTTTATATTACAAAACTAAACTCTATAAATACCTAGTAAACAGAACATACTAATACTATTCAATTGACGATTTCCTTGATAAATGCAATAAATTTCCATAATATTATAAATTTTTTACTCTAAATCTGACATTGTTAATCTTCTTATATATATTTCTTATATAATTGCGATAGATGGGGTTCATCATAGAGGACTTATCTTGTTTTACCATCCATTGTTACTTATGTATTACAAAATAAATAAATAAAATGAAATGAAATAAAATCTTTATAAGTTTATTATTTGTTTGGATTTGATAATAAAATATTTATGTTAATTTTGTTGCAGGTCACAAAACTGGATGATCTAAGTCCAGTCATCTTCTTGAACAGAACTAAGGCGGCGCTCAACTGTGCTGCTGGTTCCATGCAGGTGTGTAAAGCCCCTTTTACATTACGGATCTAAAAGCAAAGTTTTTGTTTCAAAATATTGGTATCATTAATTAATTAAGCAAAAGAATCAAAGTAACCGACATAGTCCGAAGGATAAACAAGCTGAAGTGGCAATGGGCTGGTCACATAGTTCGAAGAACCGAAAACCAATGGGGAAGAAAGGTTCTTGAGAGGCGGGGGGATCGCCATTAGATGGAGTGACGATCTCAAATGCATTGTAGAGAGTTACTGGATGCCGGTGGCAGTCTATGGGCAAGGCCTGCCCAGCAGTGGACAGATAATGGCTGAAGTCATGATTAATTAATTTAACATGTAAATCACTTAAACTATCTCGTTTCAAATTAAGCGAAGCTTGAACTATAGGTAGCAGATGGCAGATAGATGTACCTATTTAATTAATGTTACTACATTGCAAATACATATATGTACAAAACAAAACAATGTAAACAAACCAACTCTTATGTGTAGTGCGTCTGGCATGTTTGCAGAGAACAGGCTAAATGATTTTTTTGCAATTTTACGTAATTATAAGGCAAAATTTCATCAAGATTAATGACAATAAGTAATCATATTGTAAAGACTGTATTCCTCACAGCATACCTGACGACAAAAGATTATATAATGAATTAATTTAAATTTGTATTTTGTAACTAATGTGTATTTTAAAAATAATAACAATATAATAGTTTGTATAATTAATAATGTAACTGTAAACTACGGGTATATACCTGAAAATAAAGAGATTTATTATTATTATTATTATTAATCTGTATATAAATGTATGTATTAATCGTAAACCAATAAGCAGCTACATGATTTGCAAAATGTTTCCTTTAATTTCCAAAATACTAAACCGACTTCAATAAAATTTAATGGTGATCTTACTGTTTTTTAATTATACATAATTTATAAGTGCAATGTATATCTTGAATATACACAATGTAACTTTATATTCATGTATGTTAAACACAAAATAAAAACGCCTATCTCGAAAAATAATATTGGAATAGAAAACACATGGGAGAAGTTTTCTAAGTTACAGCTATGTATGCTTTAGCGAAGATACATTGTATTATAGTTCCAATACATCTAACTGCAATCGGATATCGGAATTGTAACGGTTATTTATTAACTGTTAGATCAGTGACGGTATTAGGTGAGCTTACCGCATATTTGATTAGCTAATGTTGCGTGTGTTATGTCGGTTACCTATTAGAATACAATAAAGTAACAATATTAATCTAGTTTGTAACCTACTAGCGGCTTGTCTCGGCTTTGCACTGGTGGACATTTTTACAACATTTTAAAAAGTGGTTATTGTGACATAACGATAATAGTTGGACATATAGTATCGCGAAGTTTTTCGTAGTAATTGATATTTTCTTCAATATTGTAGAACATACTTTTGTTCTATCACTAATAGTTTCCGCAGCGTAATCGACGAAAGATGTTTTATAGCATTTGTTTTACACCTTTAGTTACGTTACTAAAATTTTAGTAAGTATCCCTAACCTTTTCTAGCAATAAATATAGCCTATGTTACTCAGGGTGAATGTAGCTTTCTAGTGGTGAAAGAATTTTTGAAATTGGCAAAGTAGTTTTTGAGTTTATTAATTACAAACATACATGAACATAAAAATACAAATCTTTCCTCTTTATAATATTAGTGCAGATATAAGCAACTTTTGTATAGCAAATTGATTAATAGTTGTCATTTAAAAGAGCTTTTTAATGTGTGAACATAGAATGGCAACCCTGCCTACGCTATCGGTATACGCTGATGGGGCACCAGTGAGAGATGACAAGTATGGGGATGAAAGTAGGTCGGTTAGCTCATCGTGACGAATTCGGTAAGAGTCAACTACGATGGTTTCCAGGGGATCTGAGTGGAGGTCGACCTGATAGGGTATATTGCTAGCAATGGAGCTGCTATGTCCCCATTACTAATAATTCCTTCCCACAGATTAAAAGAGGTTGTGGAGACTTTAGATTTATTATATCATCATATCAGCCGATAACGGTTCACTGCTGAACATTGTCCCCTCTCTGTTAGAAGGTTTTATCAATATTTGTTGTGGCAAGCGGGTTGGCAACCGCAGTTAGGCTTTAGTGATGGTTAAAGAGGAACGCTGCCATCCCTAGATCATTAGGTTCCCGTAGTTGCCTCTTACGACACTTATGGGAGAGGAAAGGGTGGCTCATGCTGGGACCACACAAATACGGATACAATGAAAGAAGTACAGTTTGATTCGTCTTTCCATTTTATAAGGACTGCGCGATCGGAGCAAAATATAAATATAGTGAATTTGGACACTTTAATATCTAGAATAGAAAAAAAAAATAGTAAAAAAAAAAAAAAGAAATGACAAAGATATATGTTGAAATACTACTACTTTTTCTTTAAATAAATGGTATCTATTGTATTATTAACCAGGTAGATATAAATACAAATATTTTTGAACGACCTTCCCTTTGACGTACCCAATTAAAAAAAAAAAAAAATATAAACATTCTTTAATATTTATTACATATTTTCAGGTTGAGTTGAAGTTCAACGAGAAGTTTTATGGTATCGCGTACGCGGATTTCGACAGACACTCCGCTTGCCAAGTGGTCGGCAAGGGAGCGCTCTCCTATAAGCTAGAGCTGCCCTTGAAAGGATGTGGGACAAAACAGGTCAGTATATATACATTTGAATGAATGAATATTTATTGATAATATATAAGTAATATGACAAATAGGTACTGATTTAATGTCACATAGTCGGTAACAACACTCGAGTTGTGGAATGAACTTCTTGCCGGAGCTTTCTCTAGAGACTACAGCATGGTGTTCATCAAAAAAGGCGTATTAAGGTTTCTAAAGGGTTGGCAACGCGCGTGTGACATTTATTTATTTATTTTACTTTATACTGCACCATAAACAAAAATATATAATGACAAGTGAATAATTCAAGTGAAATACAGTAACATAAATACGCATTGAAATATACACAAAGGTACAAAAGGCGGTCTTATCGCTAGGGCAATCTCTTACTATCTGTCAGAATTACTTGCAATGGGCATCTTCATATAAGTAAGTCACGAAAATGGGCCTTTGTTTTTGGATTATCATATTAATGAAACAATTCCGACAATACAGAACAAGAATTAAGTGTTAAGCCTTTTCGTTATCAGAATACTACAAAAGCAAAGTATATTTAAGTTTTTCTTCTTTTGTACATCTGTATAAAAGAAGGAAAACTCGAATTAAAACCTTTAAGAATTTAGGTCAATATGGTTAATCAATCGTCATGATGTAGTATTTGGAGCGGAAAGTTGCATAGGTTACTTTATACCTCGTTCAATCAACATATTTAAAAAAAAAATTCATTTTTAATAGAGTAGGTATATGTACCAGAGGAAGACTTTGTACAAAAGTCGATTGCTCGGGTAGCTCTGTCCCATTCGTGTTTCAACCGTAAAGCAGTTGTCTTTGCATGGCTGCGTTTCGGTTTGAAGGGTGGGATATGGCGTGAATTTACTGGGTACAGAGGAATAACACCCGAGTCCTCAGGAATGGCAACGCATGGGGGGTATCATGGGCGAAACAGTATACTCTGTTATGTCCATGCTACTGCTCATGTCTATAGGCGACGGTTACCACTTTCCATTAGGTGGGCCGTCAGCTTGTTTGCCATTCTATGTTGTATAAAAAAAAAGTATTTTTATACATGAGCAAAGGGAATTTAACAAACTTACTGTGTTTGTTATTTCCAACGATTGTTTCGATTTCATCTGGAAGTCTAATTAAACAATTGTCGAATTTATACGGGCAACATAATTTTGGTCTCAATTATATGATCACGAGTGAGAACTAGTTAGTTACAAGCTCTATTCTACTTCCAGGACCCTCTACGTGTGTTCACGAACAACATAGTGGTGAGGTTCCACCCGGGCCTCGAGATGGACGGTGACGAGGTGATCACCATCGTGTGCCGCTACCCCCCGCCGATAGTACCGCAGCCGATACCCAATCCGTTTATTGCAGTGTGAGTCAATTTTATTTAAATCATATTGCCATAAGGAACAGTTCGGAGCCGTCTGCATCCACTGACTTCTTGCAAGTCTAGTGGGAAGTGTATGTTCAGCTGTGAACCTATAAAGGCTGAGATGATGATGATGATGATATTGCTAACAATAGAGCCAATAAGGTCAAGTTCGTTGATTTGTCATGATGAATTTATTTAGTTCATTATTATTATGTGGATCCGGCATAGAATAGGCCATCCCCTCCTTTCCCGTTGGTGTCGTAAAAAGCGACTAAGGGAGGACGAGGAATGGGCAGCAGCGTCCCTCTTAAAACATTTTCAAAGCCTAATTGCGGTTGCTTATCCACCTGCCAAGCGTGGCAACTACTGGCAAAATTCCCCAAGGGGGAGGCTTATGTTCAGCAGTGGACAGTTAAAGGATGATATAATGATGATGATGATAATGATTATATGTATGCTTTATTTTAGTTTCCAGAGAGAAATGAACGGAACCTCCGAAATGCCATTATTGTAGTTGATTGCTGATGAATACATCACAGAGGGGGAACTGTCTTGACTACACACTTAACTGATGCCCTGCCACCATATATAATGATGCAATTTTTTTCATTTGCACCCTTTAATAAAAATACAGATTTTTTACAATAATTATAATATCTAATTTATCTGTTGCAGGACACCTAAGAGTCCATTGCCCATACAGTCACCCCTAGCCGGCACTCACATCTTGATGATAATCTGCGCGATCCTGTTCCTTACGTTGCTTCTCTTGGGCCTGGGAGTGTCGTACCTTTGCCTGAGGAGGCGAGCTCTACCGCCACCTAGACGGCTGATCGATGACTCGACGCCATCTATAGCTAGCAGCATACACAGTGAGGGGATATTTATAAAATTTATCACCATTCATATCCTTAACCAAGTTATCTGATAATTTTCAAGCGATCGATCCATATGATGAAAGCGATAATCGTTGTCCTTGGACATGAACTGCTCCTTGGACATCATAGAATGTATTGTGATGGTACCCTACATGCATGGCTTCCCGAGGATTATGCCCCTATTGGATAATTTTTACTATTGTATTTCTAATTGATTACTTAAAAATGCTCTGATGTCGAACTTCTGAAACATTAAATATTTTGCACAAACTTCATATTTTGCTTCCGAAGTCGTTTTAAAGTTTATATTCGCAAGCCATAGCATGTTGATGATTTCATTATATCAGTAGAGAGTTCTTACAGACATTTCGGTACCTAGACAAGTACAGTAGCGAACGAATCGTTGACACAATGTAAAAGAACAAGACCTTGTATATTCCTATCTCATTCTATTTTATTTCATGAATTCGGTCGGTAGCGATAACGGATTCATCGAAGGGTTCGTTTGACCCTTGTTTTTTACTTGAAAAGAAAAATTATGTCAAATTTATAATTGTTTTTAGCTGTAAAGATTCCTCGCGCCACGTATCCACCGGCGTTGAGGCAGGAAACAGTGAGTGTGGCCTCCGACACCATCCCTTCGGACTATCCCTCCGAGACGCCCAGCGAAGCTGAACAGACACACACCAACGCTGGGTTCACATTGGACGAGCACTACAGCGAAGGTAAGAGGCTTTTTTACTCAGAATTATAATTTATATATTCCATAAAATTAGATGTAGGTAAATGTAGCAATAAATTTTGGTGTTGCAGGTGTTTATGGGCTACAGTAACCGTTTACCATCAGATGGACTATTTGCTTGTTCGCCATCTTTGCGATATTAAATAAATTTGAGTTTTATTATGACTGGACAGAAATGTACTCTGCAGATTGTAATAATAATTACAATACAATTGCAAAAGAAGGAAAACTTGAAATAAAACCTATTTAGGCCAATATTTGTCATCGTTTGTCATCGAGACAAAATTTGTTTGCTGGCAAACTCTACACAAGTGAAGAACTCTTTTGAGTGGGGTTCTAAAAAGGCGCTAAAACTTTTCTTCTGATCTATAACATGCTTATTTCTAGTGTTGCAAGTACCTATAGGGTACTATTGGAGGTTATTATCAGGCGAACCTTTTACGAATCGATTGCCACTATCGACGTCATATAAGGTTCAAATACTAGACTTGGAATTTCCCTACTTCGTTCGTGGAACATGTTCTGGAGAATATTCATTTCAGAGTACCTTGTGGCCCTATTTAGTGGACGTATGAAAAATTCAAAGGCTTATTTTACCAAAGATTTGAATCTGGCAGTTTTTTCTGGATTTTTTTAGATGATTTCTATATCTTTATTAGGCTACGGTGAGATGCAGGAGACGAGCACGACCCACAGCCGGCTGGTGAGCGCGCCGCCCGCCTTCGACGTGCACGTGCGCGTGCAGCAGCCCCCCGTGCCGCCCTCGCCGCCTTCCACCATCACCGCCACCGAGACCGACGCCGGCAGCATCAGGTACGTTGGCTTATTGTTAAATATAAAGGAAGCGAAAGAGAAGGGATTGTTAGTAATAGGGATTAGCAGCACCATAGCCTATCAGGTTGACTTTCACGCAGTTCTTCTGGAAACCATCGTGGTCAATTCTTGAAGAACTGGTCATAATAGGCCTAATTAATGACCTGCTTTAGATCTTACCTATCATTATTCCTCACTGGTTCTCTTTCAGTGTATACAGACACAGCTATCGTGTTTAATTATGATTTTTATATTTTAATAATAGTTCCATATCAATTTTGCCATGTGGTTTCGGCATAGAATTGGCCACCCTTTCTTGGAACTTAATGGTCAGGGGATGGGCAGCGTTCCTCTTATAACATCACCAAAGACTAACTGCGGTTGCCAACCCGTCTGCCAAGCGTGACAACTACTAACAAAACTTATTTTATGGGGAAGACCTAAGTTCAGCAGTGGACAGTTCAGACAGAATGATCAATACGAAATTATGTAATACATTGCCAAATGTCTAATCATAAATAAAAAAATATCGTATTCCATCCTTTTGACAAATATGTTATGGAATTATAAATAACACGATAACACATGGGCATAGACAATCGCTGATGATAGAGCAACACGAGCGCGAACGACAGGAGTCCGTCCGTACAGTGTCACCAGGGGCTTTGCCGCTACCAGCACGTGCGGCTCACCTTCCGCCACCCGAGCGACCGCCTCGACCAGCAGTGTACCCGCCGCGACAGGTTCGTACCTACAGCTAATATTTCGAGTGTGAGCAGTAGGACTTGGCACCTCTCTCGTGCAGGAATAGTACACTGTAACTCATGTTACAGTTTTTTGTTCTAATAAGTTGCAAAATCGATCAACAACCGACACCGATGAGGAAGAAAGGTTCTTGCCTGGCGACCCCCACTATATGGAGTGACAACCTCAAATGCATTGCAGGGTGTGGATGCAGGTGTCTCAGGATTGTTCCTTATGGCAGTCTATAGTAAGCCTATGTTCAGCAGTGGATAGATAATGGCCGAAATGATGATGATGATGATAAAGTCCCAAAAGATAAGTATTAAATTGCAGTCTTATGTCGTAGCGATTAAAATCATAAAGTGTCTTGCCACGTCAGTTCCGCTGTTTTACACTCTTATTTGTAAGTGCGAGCGCGATAGATATTACCTGGAAACAGTTGGCATCTAATGGAGTAAAAGCTGCAGATCATGCTATTATTGACACAGAACCAAGCACAGTTTTCGTCAATAATTTATTATTTCTTCATAATAAAGATATAAAAAAAGATCATCTTAATAAAAAAAAAAGCTTATATTCTTTAAACAAGATTTGTTAGAAATTGAGGTTTTTAAAGATACAGTGTTTCGACCGTGAAGCAATTGTGTTTGCATGGCTGTATTTCGGTTTGAAGGATGGAATATGGCAGTGAATTTACATGGTACAAAGGAATAACACCTGTGTCCTCAGGAATGGCAACGCATGGGGGGTATACTTTGGGCGAAACAGTATACTCTGTTATGTCCATGGTACTGTTCATGTCTGTAGGCAACGGTTACCACTTTCCATCAGGTGGGCCGTCAGCTTGTTTGCCATTCTAAGTTGCATAAAAAAATCATCTTTCCATACAGTTATTTGGTGATATCCTCGAAACAATATTGTTCCTATTGGTCATGTTTGTATGCGATGTATGTTACATTCAGATTCATTATTGGCTAAAAACTTATATTATATTAGGTTCTTTGCCGATGAGCGTAATAAATATCGAGAGGTCTCACTAAAAGTTTCTTTTTTTATTTATTATTGCAGAATTTAGTTTACAATTACAGATAAAATATAGATAGAAGTTGTATAAAAAAATAAAAAAAGATTTGTTAGGAACTAAAATTTCCTTTTACCTACAGGTTTTTGTAACAAGAATTTGCATGTTGTCATATGAAACTGATTTTATCGGCACAATGATTATTTCATATTCATCTGCACTGTTATCAATTAAATGTTTTTAATTTCTGTGTTCTAATTGTTAACATTTTGTTTTTTTATTTAACTTAACATTTTTAATATCATCGAGTGCTTTGTTTTTATTGGAATTATTCTTATTATTAAAAAATTTAAAGATGTATTTAGTGTTAATTATTTCCTCGTATTAGAAACATTAAAAATTATATCAGCGAAAGGCAATATCAGTATTAATATCGGATTCTTTAAATTAGATAACATCATATAAATTTTGTGACATTATTTAAAAGAAGCTCTTTTAAATAATGTCAAACAAGACTATTTAAATAAAGTTGATTTACGTTATGTATTCTAATATACCTATATCTTTACAATAGTGATTAATGTTAGTGCAATATTTAATGAAGAGGCTATTGTTATTAGCCCCTGTAGATCGGATAATGGCGAAAGAATCTATCAATGCAGAGTGCATGAGATAGAAGAAGAGCAACAATAGTGTTTTTTTCTTTAAATGTGTACAAATGGAAACGTACCTATCGATAGATCTGTCTGCCATTTGTCTAAGAAGGCCAGTTCAGTTAACTAGAAGCTTGGCCTAAATTTAGAAGTCTTTTCATACATATAACAATATAAAATAATTCCAAACTAACTAAGCACATCATCACTAACCAGGAGTGGTCGAGGCCGCCGCGTTCTATCGTCTCTCTGAACACCGAGATGACGGACACCCATTCCGTTACCGAGGTCACTGACCGTTCCCATGCCAAGATGTTCCATATCAAGGTAACATAACATTCATTAAACTTTAACAATTCCTTTAAAAATTTCCATAGAAAAGTAAAACGGCTTTCATTGCAGTGCTAGAATTGGAAATCGACAACCGAGATTTTCGTAAAGGATATTTCATTATTGTTGTCTATGGAAAGTTTAATGGAATACCTATATGTTTTAGTTAACTTTACATAGTAATTACTCTCCAAATGAAGTTATTTTCATAATCAAATCTAGCAATCACATTGTTCACAACTCTTTAGTAAAGAAGTGACAGTGACTATCAATTATTTAAAGAACAAATAATACATTATACGTTGATCGCCATGACGCTGCGTGAAAGGTTTATCTATTTGATTCAAGTATAAAATCGACTGTAAGAATTTTCCAACGAGGTTTCCACCACCCAAGACCACCATTAAATTGTTCGCAGCGGTCGTCATAATATTCAGTAACTAAAAAAAATACAGTGACAAATTTAATCAAAATCTTACATTTAGTACTCAACATACAAATAAAACGTTCATTTGTGGTTAACATTAACACTGAAAATAACATGACAGTCTTACTTCACACCTCAAATTCAATTCAGTTATAAAACTTTCTCATGAAACTGATACTGGTACAGAAACCGCCTCCGCCACCTCCAATGATGAGCGAGCATTTGCAAACAGAGGAGCAAGAGATGTTGATGGAGAGCTTGGAACCAATACCGGAGACGCCAATTATGCCAGCCAGGTAAATATTAGCAATACAACCATTGCTATTAGCTTAATATGACTTGATGAAATAAGGGCTGTCTGTTGAATAATGGGTAAGCTACTATTAGAAATTTGAGTTCGTTAGAAGTCTGACAAATTTGATCCAGTCAATATAAGATACAGCAAATTTTTTACTATAAATATTAAAAATTTTTTATGTAACCTGTAAAGAGTTTTATTACTGGGATAAGAGTCTTCTTTATCTAGCCAGATATCTCTATTCCACTCTATAAACTACCACGCCCTTTGGAAGGTGTCGAATTTGTTGTACAAGTTATAAAGCATAATACTCTAAAAAATCTAAACGTCTAATGACAAAAAAATTAAAAGGTAACCATGGATAGTTAAATAGATGGATAGTATTAATTCTTATTCTTGTGGCAAAGCTAATGCTATCAATGACAGTTTAGGTGCTAGGCACATATTATACGAGTGTATGTAAATTCCTTTTGTGAGTTGTTTTAAATCTCTAAACATAGTAATCTCTCCAACATATTTCCCTATAACCAAGAAAAATATTTTTAGGAAACCCGAAATAACGTCTCACGTAGTGGACGACGTATTCCTACGGACGATCACAGAGAAGAAGACCATTGAAGATATTGAGAGGCACAAGCGGCTCGTCACAGAGTACAAGCAAGTGCCACCACCACCGCCGCAGTTCGATGTCACCATACGCAATCACACGATGCCCGAGGCACAATGGGAGAACTTCTCTGACATCAGTAGCGCTTCAGGGATGACACTCACGCCGAAGATGGAGAGGGTCCCATTGTCGTTGCCGCCGCAGAAGTATATAGGTGAGTTAAGTTTCTTAATTTAATGTCTTCATTTTGCATTTTGCATGTTAAGTTATATAGGTTTAAATAAATTGGTATTGGTACTGCCGGGTAAAATTGAAATTGTTAGCATCTGTTTAAAGAAGTGTGAAATAGGGCAGTCGAAATCCAAATACTTTTAGAGTATCTCGTGTTGATTTGACAACAGTACCTTAGGTTTTTCAGTTCAAATGGTAGAACACGCTTATAAAAGGGTGCTCATGATTTCACATCTGTTAGTAAACTATTAAGTTTTTACAAATTTTCGCCTTTTTGTGGATTGTAAGTGATCTTGTAAATTGTTTTAAATGTAAAAAAGGTAGATTTAAACTATTTGATGAATTTGGAAATTTAAACAGATTTTTATAAGAGTCTTTATTTGAAACAGGAAAAGGCGGACCTGACCTATTCTCTCCTGAGTTGATTAAGCAGACAGGAAACGTGTATCCACCACCGAGGTCACCCAACGAGCTACCAGTACTTCCCGAATTGCCTCCTGCCCGCAATCCTCTGTACCGGGAAGAAGATGACGAGGATGTACCAGAACCTACGCCTGCACCGCCAGTGCCACCCAACTGGCATGTGCTGACAAGAGTACTGAAGGTCGAAGCACAGGATGAAGTAAGTTTATAGCTGATTAGGTTTAAACAAAATATTCCAGTGGGGCTTATTTCAGGGATGCATTTATTTAATTTTTTTTTACTGAAATGAAGAACCCGTTTATTTCGTAAAAAAAAACGCGTTACGTAATATTTTTTTTTATTTAAATAAAAAACAAGGAAAATAAAATTTTAAATTGGTGACCCTCTTCGTTTATAGGGAAACCTTCGATTATTTTCTACGATGTTTTTATTTTTGTCAGTATTCGTTAGTGTTGTGAACTTTAGGTAAAAATGACTACTTAGATGGTTTTTTTTAATGGATGATAATAGAATGATAATCCCACCCGCGCTATCGGTATATACCGGTGGGACAACAAGAATTGTTCACGATGGTCTCCAGGGGGAACCACGTGGAGGTCGACCTAATAAGGCATATTGCTAGCAATGGGGCTGTCAAACTCCATTGCTGACAATCCCTTTCGCCACTTAGGTGTTAGGTAATGTTTAGGGATGGACTTACAGAGACATATTACGGCGCGTTACATTAGAATCAAAAGTGTTGAGTAATTGTGTTAGGTAATAGTTGAGCGTGTGGTACAAGGTGGTGTTGGAGTCGGAGCGGTCGTGGCGGCTGACGCGCGCGGAGCGGCTGCGCTGGCGCGAGCTGATCGCGCACGAGAGCACGCTGCGCCGCGAGCTGGCGCGCGCCGCCGCGCGCGACGACTACGCGCGCCTCGCGCGGGACCACCGCTTCGCGCCGCTCTACCCGCCACACAAGTGGGACGTCATCATACGCATCCTCGCGCCGCCGCCCGACAAGCCCAAGGTACCTATATTCTCAACGCCCATTTATTCAACGCGCGTGATCCGTCCCTAATAAATAAATTTTTGATACCTCAGGTTGCAATAATTTTCGTAGGGATTTCAAATTTTTTCGTAAATATTATATAGTCCAGGGGTTTTTAAACTTATTTTGTTTACTGCTTACTTTGAGAATAATTTTTTTAGCGTCCCCATTTTTTCACCTACTTATTACTTCAAAATCAACAAATCGCCCCCAAGCCTCTACACAACGCCCCCATTTTTTTCTGGGTCTCTTACCTTTAGGTCTGCAGTGCCCACAAGGGGGCGTTATCGTCCACTTTGGGAAAGGCTAATATGGTCTATGCTTAGATTATATAGATATAGAATCGATATTCAGCTAAATTGTCATTTGGCGAACTTCAATCTAACACTTATTTATTTTTAAATCAAAACACGCTTTCTTTTTCAATGTTGCAAGGAATTAGATTAAAAATTCCTCAGTCCGAATTGCTTTTTTTAATTTGAATTCTAAACTATTTCTTCTAATAGCTATGCGCTAAAGATTTTTCATTCCGTCGACGTACTGCCGTGGAGTGCTTGAACTCGGCGTCTGTACGGTCGTCTGCGAATCGCACCTCGCTACGCTAAGCTGACGGTGTTTTGGCCATCAGCTTTGATTGGGTTTATAGGATAAAACCATCAGTATTATTGTATTAACAGAGTATTCCACTAGAGAAATGGAATATCTTTTACAAAAGAACATGGACCTAAAATGATCACAAACCAACATAATGCCAATCCGCCTGCCAAGCGTGGCGATTATTGGCAAAATCCCCTTTATGGTAAATTGCCATAAGGAACGGTCCTGTTCCTTATGACAGTCTATGGGGAAGACGTATCTTCAGCAGTGGACGGATAATGACTGATATGATTATTTTTAAGGTTAACTTGGCCTATCTAGACCAGGCTTAGTTCAAAATTTAACGTACAAACTTGATTATATTAGAATCGGTACCGAAAGAAGAGCGAGTGGGACTCGCGATCACGACGGAGCTCACTGCCGACCCTGTATGAGTACGATAGCGACGCCACCTCGCTGCGGGAGCCGCAGCGGTCGCGCCGTTCCTCCTATCGTAGCGATCACGTCGACATGAGGTCATCCATCTTTTTATATACAGTTATATATTCACATTGTGCATATGCATATCCCTATATGTATTTAGAAAACGAACAGAGTTTCGTGCCTCCAAACATTTTATAATTACTCGTCTCCATCCAAAGGTTGGCTGGAAGAGATCGCTCTTAGCAATAAGGCTGCCCATTGCTTTCTCAGTGTAATTGTTTCTTGTAACTGTTTATATTTATAATAAGTTTACTATTGTAATCTTGTGGAGCAAACAAGAAAGAGTATATATGTATAGTTTTCTTCTATTTTCTCTATGAAACTTAGAATGACAAGCAAGCAACAAACTTAGTTAATCTTATGCAAAGTTTTAATCATTGACCTATAGTCAGGAACATCACCATCGATACCACTGAAAACATTTGGTGGTACTGTAGCAGTACCTACTACTTAAAAATCGTGTAATTTCTATTCAAAACTGAGAGTCAATAATTGTCATTGGATGAAATTCGCTTAAAAAATATTTGCCTAATCAATGGAACCTTCTTGCCTTATCTCTTTTACTACGACATAGTCAAGGCCAATGTGTTGTAGAAACTCCTCACAATCATGAAGTGGTTCGTGATTTAGTGCCAAATGCCAAGCAGCGGAACGCTGTTTCAACTTCTGTATCCCCGGAAAAATACCGTCTTTAGGTTTTTTAGGACAATGATGAAGCTTCTGAGTAATCACGTTTAATCTCTGGTCTTACTACTATATTTTATTGGATCAGCTAAGACCACCCGAGAACCTATCGTCAAAAAAAACTGTACAATTATGAGCAGCTAATTAAATTGTTTGCCGTAAATGGTCGTGCCGCTCCGGCATAGAATAGGCCACCCCTTCTTTTCCCGTGGGTGTCGAAAGACTTAGTGAACTTAATGGTAGAGAGATAAGCAGTGGTATTTTTCTTAAAATATCTCTAAAAGCCTAATTGCGGTTGTCAAGCCACCTGCCAAGCGTAACAACTACTGGTAAAACTCCTTTTATGGGGGAAGGCCTATGTTCAGCGGTGTTAGTTAACGGCTGATATGAGGACGATTTAAATTGATTATTTTTCAGATCAATGTCTGAGATGATGGTGGACTATGCTCGCGAACAAGCAGACACACATTCCGAAGTATCGGCTGGTACACAACTTGGCCGGTACTATGACGACGACAGCGACACTGAACACCCCTTCCATCAGAGCCAGTAAGTCACTTTTGCTTTTTGCTATCAAAAAGGATCGCCATTTTTTACGAAATAGTACAATAATTATAATGTTAGTAGTACAATGGTGCCTCGATATACGAGTGCCCTAATATACAAGTGTTTTGAGATATGAGTCGCCGAGCGACCGATATTTTGCTTTGAGATGAGAGCAAGATTTGAAATATGAGGAATCGCACACAGCACCGCTGCACACGACCCCAACATGCGGGTTGGATTTTGGTGTATAACAATTTCTTCCACCTCAGACTAACACTTAACAAAAACAACTGAGGTTGTTTTATGAGAGTACGAAATAATGGCTTTCAATTAATTTCAATAGCGAAAATTGCTTTGAGATACGACAAATTTGACATACGAGCAAGGTTTTTTTTTACTGGGTGAAAATGGTATGGTAACCCCGCCTGCGCTAACGGGATACGCTGGCGGAGCACCAGTGATGGGTGATAGATGAGAATGAAAACAGGTCAGTTAGCCCATCATGATGAATTCATCAGGAATTAACCATGATAGTTTCCAGGGAGAACCTCGGACCAGGGAGGAGGTCGATCTGGTTGGGTATATTGCTAGCAATAGGATTCTCAGTCTCCATTACTAACAATTCCTTTCCCCCCATACAAGCAAGGTCACGGAACGTATTAAACTCGTATGTCGAGGTACCACTGTACATATATTAATAAATACATTGTGAAGTACCTGTATGTCTGGGAATAGGTACAAACTCAGCTTTTGCTGGACTGATGTGCGTTCAGCGCTGGTTTACTTGGATAAAGATTAATATCATGACACGAATGTCATCATCTATCGATTGTACCCCCATTTTGATTGATTAATTTGCCCAAAAGACGGTTGTTCTGAGTTAACTGTAGTAGTTAGATATGTAGACTCATGGACTTCTTTGTGAATAGTGATGAGTACCTACTATAAACACGTAGTAAATTATTTTACGTATGCACGCCAAATAATGACTTTTTAATACCTTTGGTTACATTATTGTAAATTTTGCGGGTATCTCTAATTGTTTGAAAATAATATATAGCCATGCAGGTCCTAGCATAGAGTAGGCCACCCATTCCTTTCCCGTGGGTGTTATAAGAGGTGACTGAGGGAGCTTATACTGGAGGGATGGGCAGCAGCGTCCCTCTTAAAACATTATTAAAAGCTAAACTGTGGTTGCCAACCCGTCTGCCAAGCGTAGTAACTATTGGCAAAACCAAGGGGCGTTTTTTTTTTATGGGTGATATTGGAGTGGTAACGCCACCCGTGCTATCGGTATACACCAGCGGGGTACCAGTGAAGGATAATAGATGAGGATGAGTTTCCAGGGGGGACCACGCGGAGGTCGACCTATATATATAGGTCGACCACCGATGGGCCGATAGGGCATATTGCTAGCAATGGGGCCGTTAAATTCCATTGCTAACAACCCCTTTTCTCCTTCCCAAGGGGCGTTTTGGGAAAGACTATGTTCATTAGTGGACAGTTGACGGCTGATACATACAGCATATAGACTATGTTATTTATTAATAATATAGCTTCTCGGTTATAGTTGAAAGAAGTTAGGTTTAAAATTAGTTACGTAATTTTTGATATTATCTATTACAAAGTAACAATCAAATCTTTCCTTTTTGAGTCAAATTTCATTCAAGGAAAATAGTGGATGAAGTAAGTCACTGTGTACACAGATCATGGGGCCGGCACTCACTGCACCGGTCGGTGAGCCAGCCGTCGTTAGCACGCTCGGCTACCGAGGTGGTGGAGCAGTGGACCGCCCCCGACGGGGACGTCACGCCCACCCCCGGCCGACGGGTCAGAGGTAAGCTTTATTACAAAAATATAGTTTTTTGGGGTAACCGCGTGCTCCCGGCATAAAATAGGCCATCCGTCATATGAGACGACTAAGGGAAGTTAAAGATCGAGGGCTGGGCAGCCCTTTCTATTTATTATAATATATCTCTCAATTCGGTGTACTTCCTGGCATAGGCTTCCTCCAGCTCTCTCCACTGAACTCTATCTCCAAAATTTAACTAATCAAAATATGTAATTGGGTTAATATGTTATATTTCAGGACCACAAGGACTCACTACGTTCACGTCATCCGAAGTACGCACGTTCCAAGCAACGAAGGAATGGCGCGAATAAAATATCCGGACATTTTGAATTAAGACAAATTCATTTAAGTGGGTACCAATTGGAACGCCTATTATTATTCTTTTATTTAAGTGCTCATAATTTCGATCAGTAACGACTAGATTCACAATTAATGATCCAAAATATTCCTATCGGAATAGCATATTTAGTAGAATTATCAAAACATGTTTGTCCTTATAAATCTTTATCAATTTTAGGATATTATTGATTGGAAGGTGACTGTGAGTCTAGTTATTAGTGATTGATAGCTCACAATAATCGATATACAAAATTAAGTAGCGCCATTTAGAGGCACTACGGAGTAAACGAGTGTTAGTGATGCACCTATCGTGCTATTGATTATTACTAATAATCGATATTATACACGGTCTTGCTGACGTATGTTCAGAAGCATAAATATCACTGCCTAGGTGATAAACGTCACTGCCTTCTATGACAATAATATGCCACTGTGGAAATCGTAGATAGAGAAACCTATGTAAATGATGTAGGTAGCATTCTTAATCTATGGTTAATTATTATAATTGTGTGTAAAATTTGACAGATATACATTGTATAAGTGCATTTTGTATTTGAGAATATTTTTCATTATATTACATAACAACAAAAGTTTTTAACAGAAATATATTTGTTAGTTTTGAATTACTTAATGAAAATATATGTACTTTAATATAATAAATGAAACTACATGTTTCATTTATTATATTAAAGTACATATATTATATTACAGTCACCTTTAGGAATATTAATATTTTTGCTAATAAAAAAATAAATATAATATACAAAATCTATCAAGAAAAAAATCTGAAACGCTTCCAATAAATTATAATGATATAAATACTTATTAAGGGAAATATTTTAGCAATACGAAAGGTCAACTAATTATCTTAGATATATAAGAATAGTATAACATCGATATATAATAATGCAAATTTTAATAGTTTATTTTAAACTAACATTGTGCCAAAATAAATTTTTATATTGCTTCCTAACATAAATTTTTTATTCCTTATAGTCGCTATGTGAATATAGCTATATATTTCATTAAAAATACCGTGTAAAAATATATTGTGAAGATTATGTCACCAGTCTTAGGTAGGTACTATATAAGGTACATAATATATAAATATATGTATTACAAAATACGGAATAAGTTTAATAAAATTTAAAATAGTTCATGTAGGTACATATATATTATACTTCATAATATTTTTATATAAATGAATAAAACCATCATTTTACTATTTTAAATTGAAAATCCAATCACGTATGTAACGTATATATATTTTTTTCTTATATTTTATATATTTGAATCTGTCAAATAATTGCTTTTAAATAATTATAAATTGTATATACTAATTGTGTTTTTAAGTAAAATCGGGATGTATAAAAACCTAGCAGCCGAGGCAAGATACACATGCTCATGTGGTCGGTATACTTTTATACATATATATTTTTTTATATATTATACATATAAGAAAGTAGCCGATTTTTGTTTTTATACAATGCTAATAGATTCTTGCCTTGATTGCTATGTGCTGGTAGAGAGGGTTATATGGCGATGGGGATGTGCAAGTGTGCTCAACTAACTTTTAATAGTTTATTACGAATTTTTAATCTGGGACAATATGAATTTATAAATTATTTAATAATTATGGATTCAGTGATTCATATTATAAATTATTAATTCCTGTTTACTTTTTAAGAATGTATTCGCAAATAAATACTTACTGAATTCTAAAAATTTTCTACTAGTTTTATTGTATTTTAAATTAAGAAGGATCTTTGGAACTGACTAAAGGATTAGATAAATGCTTCTAAAAATAGATCTTTATAAATTGTTAAAATTTAAATATCTTGTTGTCTCAGATTAGTTAGAGAATACAAAACAGGTGCTATACGAAATTTACATAATAATGTTACACACATAACATGTGGAAATAGAATATGATGTACTTACAAAAGGATTGCATGGATTTTGATATTTGAAATATACGTACTTTAACAATTTTATGGTGTATTTTTATTACTTCCTTTCATTAGATCTCGATTATTAGGATTCGTACAAAGAAAACGTCTGGAAATTTAAGAAGTTTTATTGAAATATTCGAAACAACGAGGAATCATACAAATAAATTTGTGGTTAAAATTACAATTAAAAGTTAATAAATTCGTTTTATCAATACATTTCTCAGATGTATCTACAAACATACATGAAAATATTTGCGAATTAAATTCATCTAAGTAATACGACAATAAAAGCATCCCTTTAATTTCAAATTTAACTTATTTTATATAAATCCGTCGCAATTCGTGCTACTTAAAATTTTAAGCGTTTATCATTTTAAAAAATAGAAAAAATGGACGTAAGACATTATTATTTATAATCAGATTTATTTATTTTACAATAATCGTATATGACAAAACAATTTACAAGTCATCTGTTAATAAACCTAAATAGCATTTAACAAGTTGCTAAAACATTGTCACTATTGTACACAGTCAAGATTACACTCTATTAAGCTTCAGTAAAAATAAATATACTACCTAGTTAATTAATAGGCATTTTATGTTATACTGTACAGCTACTTCGAGAAACTTTAAACCGCTCTTTTGATATTTATGTACACTAATATTAGTAGTTGGAGTTCTATCTGTTAATACATCTAATATCGTACTTCTATCAAATGTGATACGAGCAATATTGATTTTATCTAACTACGATATGAAGTAAATTGGACAGGTCCCTTTTCGTCAAATTATTTGGCATTTCTTTGCAATACCTCTGGCATTATTTGGCAACCGTCTCGTTGATTTGAAACATCACATTTTTGTTTACAAATATAGTTTTCAGTTGTATTTGTTATTGGTGTTTGTTTATATTTAAAAAAAAACATTTCTAATTGATCTAGATTGGCAGTTAAATTAAAACTATGTAAACGAGACACAGGTTGAATGTAAGTTTTAGTTACAGTCTCTAATTTTAGCTTTTCATTTAATTCATCTATAGAAATTAGTAAAGGCATGAACACTTCGTACGATTATTTTTTAGTAAAACTAGGTTCCTCATTATATTTGGCTTATTGAGCCACAAGATTGACGTCTTCTAGTTACTTGTTTCCAGAATCTTTTCTCGAATTGTTTCTCCTGCAAGAACATTAAACATACGCTATGGTATATAATTGTGATAATAATAATAGTGTTGCTCGAATAATTTATACCGATCGATACTTAATTTCAGCGTGTTTCGCATGATTTTAGTGAACTTATTGTGATGACATTGTACGAGTATACAATCCAAATTAAAAAAAACTAATTAGAAAATTACAAAAGTATTAGCGAAACTAAATATACATATAGAGAGTGGAGCGTAGATATTGTATTAGCGATAAAATAATAGGGGAGTGTTGTGAAGTAACTTGGAAGGCTTTAGCTGCAGGATGAAGAATGAAAAGCGCAATGAATTTTTGGTAAAAATATATTTTCAAGAACATTCGTTCCAATTAAAATGGACAGATCAGTTCAACAACCAACAAAAACAAGGAATTTAGCATAATTTTAGAAGCTGGATTTAAACATTAAGACTACAGTCCATTAGAAAATGTAGAACAATTGACATCAAGTTATTCAGTGCCGAGTTACATGACGAATAACAACCTTACGAAATATGAGAATAAGTTATTAGGAATATAAGCAAAGATAATATCTTTAAAAACATTTTCACCTAGAAATGTTATAATAGTAATTTAACAATGACAATCAAAATTCTACAATTTTGAATTTTAAGAAGGCAATTTTATTGGCCAAAATACATTGACTATTAATTTTACACACAATCTCACTACTTTTCGTCAAGTATACCTATATTTTATATAAAAAACTACTTTTTACGCCATCTTTACTACGTATTTATTGTTGACGAGCTTCCTTCATTTTATTGCATAAAAAGACGTTCTTCAATCTCCATTTATAAATACTAGCCTTTTAAAAATACTTCAACAATTAAAGGCAGTGTCGAGATGTGAAAAACTTAATATTTTAAATATTTCCTTAAGTACTATTTATTTTACTTTTTTTTTTAATTTCCTCAGTTATTTTTGTTTTTAAAGTACAATGTTTGATTTTCTTCTCAACAATACTTTCCAGATTGTGCTGTATATAAATATGTTAATTCACTTTGGAAGTTTTTTCATAAAGATTTATGGCCATTTGATTATATATTAAAATAAAATAATCAATGATTTAGATGGGTAATTATGAACAGGTATGTAAATATCTTTTTGGGACGTGGAAACTGCAGATTTAAAGTAGATGACAAAGATAAACCTAATTTAATTACCGATTATTCGATGTAGTTTGAATTAAGTATTGGAATTATAATTATTTGTATATTTTATAATAATAAAACTGGACATAAAATAAAATACAAATTGTATTGAAAAAACTTCCGTGGAACGTTTAAATCCAGCTGATTGGCACAATAAGCTAGTGTATGTGCGGGTGCATTCACACATAGCCATTGACAAAGCATATCTTGTAATAGCCGTTGTTGCTCACGGTCGTGCGGCGCGGTGAGAACGGGCGGCCCGCGCCCCCCGCGCCCGCCCCTACTGTCCCCCCCGCACCTACCGATACAGCGGGGAACAACGGCGAGCGGCGGGGGCTATCGGATGATGCGCGACGACGTAGGAAACCCATTCTGTAGGATGGACTCGATGATAGAATTTCGTAAAATTCGTGTGTAGGAACTTCCATGATTTAACGAATTAAAAAATGATATTTTTAGTTCTTTTTTGAAAATGTTGGATTCCATATGGATAGTACAATTATATAAATCATTTCTTCGTAAAAACAAAAGACTTTATCCGCTAATAGAGTTCATACATTGATGTACTTTGTGTTTCATTAGGTACTTTTATACGTTATTTAAAAACTGTTTTTAGATACTTACATCTTCCCGTTCTGGCATAGAGAGCGCGTCCGCGAACGCATCGTCTGAACTTCCGCTCGTGCCAGTTGCTCCATCTCCATAAGTTTCTCGCTTTCTGGAACTATTTATATTTATGTTACACATGATCCTTAAACAAATTTTCGCGCGCAGGTACTACTGGATTTCTAAATGATAGTGAGAAAATGTATAACCTGAGAATTTATTACAACGTTATCTAAGAATTCGATATTACAACTGCAAATTTTGTAGATTAGTGTAATACTTAATTATGTAATTATCATAAATACGAGGTGTCCGGAAAGTACGTTAAAAGTTTTTTAAAAATTTTATTTTACAATTATTCAGGTAAATCAATTTTATCCCCTTCAAAGTACTCCCCCTGTGACATAATGCACTTGTGCCAACGCCGTTTCCACTGTGATAAGGCTCCTTGAAAGTCCTCTGGTTGTAGGTTTCTCAGCTGCCCCGTCGTAGCTTTTTTTATCTCATTTATGTCCCCCAAATGCCGCCCCCGAAGTACCAATTTGGTTTTTGGGAACAAGAAGAAGTCACACGGGGCCAAATCCGGCGAATAGGGGGGGTGTTCGGTCACCGTAATGGAATTTTTACTCAAAAACTCACGGACAACAAGAGAGGTGTGGGCAGGGGCATTGTCGTGGTGAAGAATCCAACGCCCCTCTCGCGCCAATTCTGGACGAACTCGTGCCACACGAGCTTTGAGGCGTCTGAGCACATCGACGTAGAATTTTCCATCAACTGTCTGGCCTGGAGGGACGAATTCTTGATGGACAATCCCCCGAACATCGAACTCTTTCTCGGCCCTCTCTGAATCTTTTTAGCCACTTGTGGACGGTTGGTTCCTTCACAGCATCATCCCCATAAACTGTTCTGAGATCGGCAAAAATTTCACGGCCATTCTTGCCGAGTTTCGAGAGAAACTTGATTACGACGCGCTGCTCTTCAACGGAAGCGGGTTCCATGCCGACGGGGTTTCGTTAAGAGGTAACTTCACAGATGGCGTGACAAGCCAGTTCGCACCGCGGCGGTCAGCGTTAGGGACATAAGGAAGGGGTCCTGCGCTTACCTGGCCTCCCCACTCCTCTTTCTCGCATTCCAGAACACTTTTATACGAACTTTCCGGACAGACCTCGTACTGTAAAAGTTGTTTACCTTTGTTTTAGTAAGTATATAAATATAGAAACAACTTACGTTTCCAAGCATATACAGAATTGCGCGAAGTAGTATGCGGGACGGTGCGGCGCGGGTGCGCGCGGCACAGAGTCACCGCGTCGGCGCTCGCCACCCGCCGCAGCAGCGATCTCTGGCACGCCGCGCGAAACGACCAGGGGTCGGACCCGCCATCCTAGTTGACGTAACTAATTTAAGAGTTTGTTTCTTTAAAAAACAATATATCAAAATCGGACTTATCCGAAACTTAGTTAATACAAAGTTCTAGGCTGCCTTCTTATCCGATTCTTATCCTGGTAATTCAGAATCTACACTTAATGTATCAGACACTTTCATATATTTTCATTTTTCTCCGAAGTATCAGAGTAACCATTCGCATATTTAAGAACTCCAGGGAGAGGGAGGGGGACGTCTAGCTCCTTAAAAGGGCGCATATGAACTGTTGGATATATCTTTGCCCATAATCGAATACTCATTTTTTTATTTTGCTTCCCCATCCCTTCCCCTTAAACTACGTCTGTGAAAGTAACAATAAGGTTTTTTATACTGTAATGTATAATAATGGTATTCTACCCAAGACGCCTCCTGATCTACTAGCATGTCCTTCCCCTGATCTAGCGCTAGCCTCATTTCTGCTCGAGGGCTGAGACGCTCCGGTGTCGGCGGCTTCTCTTCTGGTTGTGAAGATTCCTCGGGAGCTGCTGGCTCCGAAGCTGCAATGAGTCAATATTTTACATTTTAACTTGAAATTTTGATTAAAGATCTTTAAAAATTTAAACGAGATAAACGATCATTTAAAGCTGCCCTGTTTGGTAAATATTAATTAATATTTCTCATAAATACTTATTAATATTATTAATGTGAAAGTAAGTTTGTTTGGTATCTCTTAGCGCCGTAACAGATTAACAAATTATTAAGTTTGTTAAGTATTATAAGGGACGGACCTTTATCCATCCAAAAGAATCTTCTTTTAAAATATGTTGGTACAGGTTAGGTACTTTTATCTCGGTCACGCGTACTATAGTAAAGGCTGTTACGAGATTTCATGATGACTTTTTAAAAATTAGATAACGAAGAAATAAGACCTTAAATTCAGCAAATACTGCATTTGACCCATATGCAATAGCTTTGGGGCACTTGTTAAATAGATATTTCGATTTAATAGCATATTTGGAATCGATAAATGAAGAATCAAGTATTGTATAGAAGTAAACGAGCTGACGGTCCACTCGATGAAAACTAGCGTGTGACTGGCCTTCAAAATTTGTACGTACCATTTTGTACCTTTATTATAAAGGCCCATATTATAGTGCTGTATGTAGTGCCATATTCTGTTAATTATATTAATGAATTGCTTTGTTATAAAACTAGAATTATAAATAAGGAAGAACTAGAAGGCTAATACAAGAAGGAATGGTTAGTATAGAACACGTACCTAGAGACATTTGATTGTGCGTGGGATTGTGGATTGTGGTACGCTCGAGTGTGGAGGGCGTGCTGGCCGAGCTGGCTGAGCCCCGACGACCTGCACCAGCACCGGCACGCACCTCCACACACTCTTTTGAAGCTTCCATGTAAAATATAAAATAAACATAAATAATTTACATATTACAGAGACAACAGAGTTCAGCCATATACATCGTGCCGTGTGTCTAATCTTTGCTCTCAGTTATTTTAGTAGTTTATGAATTGGTAGATATATGTTACAATGAGGCTGTTAAATCAAAAATTTCAACGAGTTTTATTCTGTAACAGAATTGTTACACTATCATGTGATACGTCTCATAAGTTCAGTGTTTTAATGAAAGCCACTGACCAGATTGTAAGGGCGTCGAAGGCGCCTCGTTGGTGGGTGTCCGTTCTGGACTCAGCTCGGACGCGGCGCCACCATCGTGCTCCTCTCCAACAGTTTGAGCGGCGCCCGCACCCTCGCCCCCTGCTTCTGCGAATAATCTAATCTTTAGTACAAATTTTTAAGTCTAGATCTGTGAATCAGTGGCATCAGTAGTTTTTTAGGTATGTGTATATTACCTGTACATTATATTGAAATGGAGTGACGATATTATACTATGTATTCCGTTTGTTCATATTATAAATGTTATAATATTTTAAATAATTCAAATTAATCATAATGTAATTAATTACATTAACGAAAGGGTACGGGTGAGGTGCAACGTCTACAAACGAAAGAAATTCGTGCTAAAATACAACAAATTTTAAGGGCACGTAACGTATACTAAAATTAACATTTGTGTTCTTTTGTCCCATATTTAGACATACATGCATCGTGCAGTATTCATAAAATGTTTAATATATTTTATATTCATTTTCAAATGTGATTGTGGACATTTTTCGTCTTTCTCACCTTTGTATCTTAGTCAAGCTGTCCATTTTTCTGTCAACATGTATTTTTGTTAGTATATGATGTTACAGAGTGACTCCTGATTTATTCCTTATAAGGTAATTAATTATATGTTTACAATTGTATCACCATATTCGTAAATTCAATTGTAATATTATTTAACAACTTATAAATGTTTTGTTGTTTTTTTTTTAATGTTCCATTAAATATTTTTTTTATCATTTTATAATCGTCATTGACATTAATGTAAATTGTGTGAATACATGAAATGAATGGAAAAGTGATTTGTATTATACATAGTATTTTTATCAAGACAAGGTAATATGATTTTGACAACGATCAAGGTGAGTCAATGGATGGGGAGTAATATTGTATCAGCAGTGCAAACATCGTCAAGGTAACTCACCTGGCTCTGAAGCAGAGGGCGGCCGGTGCGGCGCGTCGCAGCAGTCGTCAGCATAGAGGCCACGCGCGCTGCCCTGCGCCAAGCGCCGCAACCAGCGGACCAGTCACAATGTGAGATTATACCTAGCTACGGGCTACGCGACACCGACCGGGATATGCCAATAACCCTTGCTTAGATCGATGTATCAATTTTGTAAGTGACTGGAAATTGAGCCTTTGTAGAAAAGCAGAAAGTTTAAAATTCGCGAACATTACAGTAAAACGAGATCTTAGCTCGATGAAGTATTTTCTCTTTAAAGATATAATTTATAAATTGGGACTTTTATAAAATGATGGCAAGGAAACTTGAAAGTTAATTAAATTAAACTACTAATAATTTATACGGATTCATATTTTTTTATTTCAAAGACGGCGAACTCCAAACTGAATCTAAATTCAATAATAATAAACATATATAGTAATTAATATAATTTCATGCAACTAGCATGCTTGAATCAACAATATTTATATATTGTTTATGTGGTTATTGGCATGCTATGAGAATATTCAAACATAGATACATTTGAAACAGCTAGGTAATAACATCTGTCAAATTTAATAATAATAATTTTCAAGTATTATTTTAATATTTACACCATGAACGTTTTTAATTGACTAAATCTAAAAATCTGTACATATCCTGGTCCATTAACAGATGATATTATCATACATTAATTATCTGTATCATAATAACTTTATTGCAAATATTAATGGTACTCTACAAATTTTACTTTGCAATCAGAAACAGTAGTATCTAAGTATCATTTTGCTTAATTTCATAATAATTTATTGTTCAGAGAAAATATTCACCTGGTCGTCAGAGTTAGTAGGTGTTTGCTTGTTGTCTTCACTTCCACTGTCTGAGCATTCTTCTTCTAAAAGAGGTTCTAGCCTTCTTCTGAAAACGTCCCTATATTTACGATTTTGTGTTAGTATGAGTTTTTAAAGAATTTATCACAGGTGTTGTAGTTATTTATAGTATGTTTTTTATTAAGATAAACAAAGGTATTATGTAATCTTAACAAACAGTCCACACACCAATTCATTCGGGTATACCTTATATCCATACTTTACGCACACAAACATACTACACGCCGTCACCTAATGTTTTATAAGTACTAGTAAAAAAGGATTGTTATTTCAATTCGCAATAAAACAATGTAGTAAGAAGACGTGTCATTTGATTTTCTAAAACAGATCAAGCAAAAACATTTTTGAACCTTAAGTGCTACAACAACAGGCAATGTAAATAACTATATAATATATACAGGAAATATTAATAAGACTATCGAGAATATGTTTGATCATATATAAAGCAATTACCACGAGATCGTAGATCAAGAGGTAGAATATATCAAACTTATCTTAAGTAACTTTATTTTACATTTAAGACGTTGAAAAACTAAGGTTCGAATTCTTATCGATCGGCAAACTCTTAATCAACAGTCTTGATATAAAAATCTATAAATGATACTATAATAGATAGTAACCTTGGTAGTAGTGGTCTCAACGTGGTAGGTCCAGTTATCGTCGGCGCCATTAATAGTTCATCCATCATTAGCTCTGTATCATCGTCGCCAGCGTATGATGACGACGACTTTGTTGGTGACTGGAAAGATGAGGAGATTTCAGTTCACATGGGATAAGGTATTAAAAAAGTATAACTATAAGTAAAGTAAAGATCATGTAACTAATTTTTGATGTACTTACATCAAGATATATATTATTTTGCAAAATAAAAAGAGTTAAACTGAAGAATTTGCCTTTTTAACTACAAAAAAGGACTGTAGCATATGGTGAGTTTAAATAGAAAGTGTAATGTAAGAATAGTGGTAACAGTCAAGCAGTTAAACAATACTCATTAAATGATCTTGGCATTTTTCCATTTAATAAAAATTTACAGGTAGGCGGTAAGCACGAAGATTTGTTTGCTCTGTCTAAAGTGTACGTTACATTAAGTACAAAAAGGAATATATATTTATAATTAAAAATGCATACCGATAATGTTCCATGATCAGAGTCAGGAAGATTGTCAGAAAGGTCTCCAGAGGATGGAGTTCCCCAAGCTTCTTCTCCACTGGCGCCACTTCCTTCCCCAGTTTCTGCTGTGCCCTCTTCAGTTCCAAGAGCTGATTTCCAGTCACTCACGCCTAGACATCTATCGTTAGTGATGAAAATATTAATAGTGATGTCTAAGAAACTTAATGCAATAAAGATAACTGAACGCAGTGAAACGTAATTGTCTATGATCATCTAATTTATAAAACTTGTAAGAAGTCACTATTAATTTCACGGTTAGTTTAAATAAATTTAAAAAAAATCTACAACTATGGTTTTAATTATATAACAAAACAATAATTTGACTAAAATACTATTATATTCATACATTTTTAAAATTATTTTAATAGAAATAAAGGCTAAAATGAAGTTAAGTAAGTGATCAACACATCGACGCAGAGTAAGTATTACGCAGAGAAACTATTGTAGCTAATTGAAAATATAATATTTTTGTATTTATGTAAAAAATTTTGAATTGAAAAATACAATATTTTTAGAGCAAATAGTGAAAAAACTATTTGAAAATTTTTTGATGTGAAACACAGGATAGGTATCTATATTAATCTACTTAGAGGTATATCGTTTATATATATATATTATTTATGAATATTACCGTTAATAGTTAAGACTTCTATTGTATCTAAGGAATGTGATTTACGTTTTCTAAAATAATAATTAAAAAATAACAGAGACGTGATAAATTTAAATACAAGATAACTTCTATTCGTTAATATAAAATTAAAGACTAAATTATTGACAGTTTACATATTCTACATAATTACTATATAAATTTTATTTGTATAGCATGAATAATAAATTTATTATATATATTATGTATTCTAAACTAGGATTATTTTTTATATTTAGAAAATCTAAATAAAAACGACTATTTGTCTAATGTTTTTAACTCAATAATGCTATTTTAATTAATATTGAAAACCGAAATGTTCCAATCCACACATACTTATCGCGTTTTTGTTATGTCCTTTCCTGATGAAATCCCCCTATTTAGTAAAAGGAAAAATATATATTACACCAAATATAATAGAATACAAGTCCTTTTTATTTACTTAGGTAATAAACTGAGTCCCGTGAAATTGTATGTAAAATAAATGAAAACTCTTAATCAATTTAAGCCAAATTCTTCGTAATATTTCATGAGGATCTGACTGTTGTAATATTTTAAAGATATATATTTAATTGGGTTGTTGTTGTTATATTTATTATATTTAATAATATTGAAAAATATAAGAAAAATGTAGGAAAAAACGTTTCAATGGACTTTATAAATATAATATGTTATCTAAATGTAATAGCAAGATACAATATACCTTGAGAGTATAATATATTTTTCATGTAAAATAACTGAAAATATTAATTAACAGTAGAACATAATAACTATGAAAAGTACAAAAACCACTAACCTTTCTAAGAAGGACGGTTGCTTGTGTGCTATGGAAGAGTTAGGCACACTTTCTGTGTAACTGAATATGTTCATTTTCTCAACAACGAATGATCCTGCTCGTGCTGTCCATCCCATGATTCCACCAGCTGCTCCAGATACTTTAAAACAAAAATGTAATTTTAGTAAATCATCTCATATTATAAAAACAAAGTCATGATTAAATGGTTTACCTGGGTTATAAGCTTTTGATGTTTCCGGTTCTTGTGTGGTCAGTCTTACATTACCATCGTCAGTCTCATCAGAAGGTAGCCTCTCGAGGCTCGACATCGTGCCATACCTATACGTGTGCACATAGTGATTATTAAACATTAATAACTAAAAATTTTGATCACAAAAAAAAAAAAACACGTAGATGACAATAATAACAAAATTAATATAAGAATAACCAACTGAATCCAATCGATTACAAAAATAATCAAAATTGGTTTAGAAATGTCGAAGATGTTGCGTAACATTTTTCCAAAGTAATTACAATAAAAATGCAGTCGAATTGAGAACCTCCACTTTGAAGTTGGTTTAAATAGAATATTGACTTTAATTTACATAACTTAAATATAGGACCGTATTGACGAAGCACCATTTCGATTAAGGTTATTAAAATCAATTCATAGTTAGTGAAGAAATTGCATAGCATAAAATAAATGTAATAAAAAGGCAATCGAATTGAGAACCTCCTTTTGAAGTAGTTGAAATTAAATAGAATTTCTGTAACGAAGTACCTAGATACATCTTCGAAATAAAAATTGTGATAATAGCAAACCTTTTGAGAGATACATAAGGAAGGTCATCTGGTACATCTGGGGAATCAGGTGAATCGTCTATGAAGGTATCCTGAAGCAAATAAAGTTAATGCAAGGAATATAGTTTAATTATTATAGAGTTTGAACAACCATTCATAAAATATGACAAACAACTTACAGTCTTATTGTTTGTGGTACTATAATCTGGCGTTGGAGGTACAACGGCTATATTAGGGACAGGAGATTCCGACTTAGCAGAACCAAGACTTCCTGGTCTTGACACATTATTTGCACTCGCTAATGATGATCTCTTGAATGGTTCAACTCGCATAAGATGGGCTGCTGGATTAATGGCCGATAAGCCCATCAGCATTAGCGGTCCTAATTCTAAATCATCATCTGATCCTATATCATTCACATTTGTGTTAGCATTTACATCTTCAATTTTTTCAGTCTTCCTATTTATATCTCCATTCATTTTACTAACAGCTGATATACCCATTTTTGGAGATCTTCTTATACCTCTTTCTATTTTGAAATCGTTGTCATCCTCATGTATTGAGTCATCTGACAAAAAAACTGACGATGTTTTAAGACATGTGCCAAGATTTTCTCTTTTTGTAATAATATTCATTCCTAATACTTTATTAAGCACATTCTCTGCCTTTTTTCTAGTTATTTGTTCTTTTCTTACAGACGCCGGTGATGGATAATTTGTAGATGATACTCTATGCTTAGACAATGTTATACTCTCTACACACTTAACTTCATTCAAGATTTTTTCTTGTGCTATAACACATTGCACTTGATTAGCAATATTAGAATTCGACATTCTTAAATCATTAGAACTAGAATTAAAAACCATTGAGCTACAAGTAGTATGACTAGTAGAAAGAGGACTATTATTTCTACTACTAGAAGATGGACTCGGTGATCTGTAAGACTCTTTCCTTAATTCCAATTGACTTTTTGTTTTATTTTTAGAATGGACGCTGGTCGTAGACCTATTTAAAATTGGAGAATCTGTTTTTAAATCATATGATGTTGATTTCAACATTTTTTGGCTTTGCTCAATAGAGTCTATCACTTTTAAGGCTGCCGTAGGGGCATCCTCAGGACGTAATTTCATAGCACCTTTACGCTCTAAATGACTAAAGTTTCTTGGCTTACGATTACCACAGTTCGAACTACACGCACTGTTAGAACTTTTGTTTGAGTTAGAATTTTGTGGCGAGGGTGTTGTTTTTTGTTTCGTTGGCAAAAGTGGATCTTTTTGTGACACTAAAGGACTGTTGGGTTTAGATAAGCACTTTTTGTGGCACTGTCTGCAAACCGGTATAGTGTCTACCACTACTGGACTGGTTCTTACTGTTATCTGAAAAAATATATAATAATTTATTACATGTAAATTTAATACAGTTATCGAATATTACCTTTTATGTAACTACTTCAAATACCTGACTTCCTGAATTACTACTTTTCGACGGACTACGTTCATTTTCTTTTTTTTCACCCCCTGCTGGGCCTTTATTTTCATTATTGTTCGTTACGAGGTCAGCAACTTCTAAAAGATTCAGTTCTTTGGACCTTTTCCTTAATTCTTCTACGCTCCACATCTACAAAATAAATTATAAGATTATAAAAATAAATTTCGAAAAAATTTTGTAGTATATTTACTCATATTTTTCAATATCCATATACTACAAAATTTGTTGTTTCATTTGTTTTTCGTCCAAACAGTAAAGTTAATAACTATAAGTTGACTATAGTCTTCTATTTATACTGCTATAATTTATTTAACAATTTTGCTTGCCTCCATATCAGGTTCTGGGGGGTCCATTTCCTCAGCTTCAGGTAACTGGGTCATCCATCTTTGCAGATGTAGCGTGGAGCCTCTACTTCTAGTACTTCTAGCACCTTCAGTCGCACTGCCTCCTGCACCAGTCTGAGTTTCCGCTGAGCTACGTCTCGTCTGACGGATGAAGAATTAACTCATCATCATCATCATCATATCAGTCTTTAACTGTCCACTGTTGAACATATGTCTCCCCTTGGGGGGTTTTGTCAGTAGTTGCCACGCTTGGCCGGCAGATCGGCAACCTTCCTTAGTCAGCTCTTACGACACCCACGGGATAAGAAGGGGTGGTCAAAATATATAAAACAAAAAATATATTAAATTGTATATCTCTGTGGATATTTCGATCAGCTTCAAATTTTTAAATATTTATATCACACGTATTATTCAATATCGTTACTCACCTCCTCCTCAAAATTGTTATTTGAATCATTCTTGAGAAATAAATATTTATAGAATATTGTGTGCTATATTTATTAAATAAATTATATGCTAGATGCGACGTAACAGAAATTAATCTTAAATAATATTTTATTTGATGTTAATCAAAGTTACTTTCATGGAATTATGAATTTGACATTAGTTATGCCTAAATTGTTGACTTCAGAGATGTACTTGTTGTTAAACATAATGATATTATTTTCAACAGTATACGAAACTGTAGCATATTTTATATAATCAATATGTACTAGTATTTTAATAAATTAAACAAATAGACGTACGTTAGAATGGATACATAGAAAAATGGTAGCTTGTTAGTATTTACTGGTGGCTTGTCACAACAGATCTCGTTAGCGTCGCAAAATCGTAATTCTAATTATGTGATGAAATGAAAAAAGATATCTCCATTGACAAAATCTCTTTATTTACGGATAATTAGAAATATACTGTTTCGATCTAAACATAAACATCCAAATTTATATATTAATTTTAGTCCATTTGCATGTTACAAAGAACCCAGGGTAATAAGTAAAATACCTTCTCAAAATTATAATTTTTTTCTCTCGTAATCTATTTAGACTATATTTAAAATTTACACACAGCCAAAGACATCGAAAATTATTGATTCTAACTACGAATTTGTTCAGTAAAAAATGGAGGTCACATACATGTTTAAAAACCCGCGAATTAGGTTATGTGAACATTTTGCGATGCTAGCGAATAGTTTCATCTAAACATTCTTAATCATCAATTGCAAAACATGACATACTGAATCATCTATAATATTAATTTATATAGGTAAGAATATAAATGTATATATGTAAGATAAGAAGCAATTGCTAAATCATTTAACATTAAATTTTACACCAACTACCATTTTTCATTGTAGACACATATTCTAATGGCGATAAGTGCGTTCAACATAAGAAGCGTCAAAACAAAAAAAATAAACTTTGTGTAATTCTACGATGAAGTCTACATAGTATTGCGTTGGAAGCTGATCGCCAAATATCCACATGACCTGTACAAGGTAACTGTTTATGTACAGATTTAAAAACGAGTCAGTTTCATGCTTTACAACATTAATATCTTGAATGGTGTACAAAATCAATTGCTTGTTCCATTACATATTTAAAAGGAAGCAGAAGTTAATTGGAAAAATATTCGAAACTTCGTTAACAGATAAAACGCATCAAAATACATTATAAGAGAGGACGGAAGACTTAAGAAGCGAACGTATTTTGAAAAAACGAGCTATGTTTGCAGTATTTAATATAACTAGCTATGTTGAACATGGTTGGTACCCTACAGTTACAATTTTGACACAGATTTCTATTTGTAAAATGTTAAGTATTGGCATACATTTATTTACCTTAAGCAACTTGTACCTCTAATTACCCCATTTGTGGTTATATTTCAGTTCTATGAATTTACTCTGTTAAAAACACTCGTTTAATTTTTTTTAGGTCATAATCATACATATTACTAGAACACTGTAATATCATAAGTGGGTATCAGACTTATTATTAATTTTCTATCATATAATCAAAATACCGAGATCTCATTTCAATACTGCTAATGTTCGAAAATATGTCTCTCAAAAAATGTATTACCACAACCTTAATCTCAACTATAAGCAAATTTATAACAATCCAACAAATTTTGCTCGCGCCGTTTATTCGGCCAGTCTACACGACGAAAGCTTTGCATATCTACTGATTTTAAGTATCAGTAGGCCAACTGTCCTAAACATCAGCTATCGAACCACAGGGCTACTAGAACACACCATAAAAGGTCAAGATAGAGTAGGCCGTGAAATCCTATCCCTATCTCCATTTGTTTCCACATGTCCGGGGATAGCAAGACTCCGCTAACTCCGGATCTGACTCCGCAGATCAAAGTTCTAAATAAGCTGGGGGAGTAGGCCTTTCTGGCAGTGCCATTCGGGGCAGAAGGGGGTCATCCGGTAAAAAGATGCGTTCTTCTACAGCATGTTTATAGGAAGGATCGACATCAAGGTCTGCTAATGCTAGATCTGCTTCAAAAGATTCCCATCGACAGCAAGGGGAGGATTCTGAATAATCATCACCTCCATCCGGCGTGAGTTGAGCACTTGGTGATGTCGGCGGTTCTTCATTCTTTTCTATACTGGAGGAAGACACAAAATGCGAAGAGAACGTTTGAGAATCAGCCGGTGAAAGATTAGCTGAAGGTGTCTCAGGCGTTGGAGCCGTTCTCCACACCGTGCTTAATGGGCCTCTAACAGGCAGAGGGGTTGGGGAATTAGAGTTGGTTCGGACATCAAAACTGACTCTGACTTCCTTTTCTGGGCGTTCTTCTATGAGCATGTTTAGGTGGGACCGGTACGAGCTGGCTGGGAGAAGAGCCAGGCTCGAGTGCCGTTGGATGCTGGACGCAGATACCTGGCGTTGCTGTGAGTCGAGGGTCGCTAGGGAGAAGGTGAGCTGTGGGTCCGGTGAGTCTAGCGGTGACCCGAGCGGTGTTCCTGTCATCGTATGAGCTCGATATCTGTGGACATAAAATAATAATATGTAATACTTTTTACAAGAAAAGGAATAGGTTATATGATTTTTTCAAAAGCTTTAACTTACATTTGTCTTTGAAGTAAACTCTGCCACACTGCTTTTAGGTCTATCGAAGGCGCTCGTAGGATGACGGTGCGTGTTCGTCCAGGTGTCCGAGGAGCACACGACACTAGTGGACTCTCACCTCCCGCACGCCCAAGTATTAAGCGGAATTCCGTTGCTGAAAATGTTTTTTAGATTAGCAGGTATAAAATTACAATAACTAAGGTCGGAATTAACTAGTAATCCTAACACATTTTTATTATTTATAAATTATTCTTTATAATTAAAGTACAACGATTCATCTGAGAATAATGGTCTATTTTATATTCGATAAAAATATAGATGTTTGGATTAGTTCTAATAGGTAATAATTTGTTAAATTTGCTTTTGTAAGATTTTTTATCATCTTTATTATTTATGGTATTTCGAAAATGCTATTACATATATATTAAGGTACTAAATACATATACAATTAATAGGGTTCGGTTTTTTTTATAAATACGTTAAAATATCCCGGTCTAACCTTTTTTTCTAACATTGAATTGTGCTTCAGATACGGTTGCTAATGCGACAGGCTCTTCTGTGACGAACAGTACTCTGTCTCTGGACACGGTGGCGAAGAGTAAAAGATCACTAAATAGTAGCGCCCAGTACGGCCTCACTGCTCGGCCCTCAACTCTCGACAACTCGCCTCCAAAAATCCATTGTCGACCAGCCGTGCTTAGGACGAACGGCTGGAAAGAAGATGAAATTATCAGATTATTTATTCATCCATCTGTCATCATCCATAATTCATCATCTTCATCTGTGATAAATGATTTAAAAAATATATATACTATTTATTAGATGTTGAATTTTTAGACATCACCTTTTGAACGTTACAAATATGATATTGTGTTCTGATATTAATTATTTGAAAAGTCTAAATGGATAAATGATTTCACTTTATAATTTTAAATACTAATAATAAGTTTGTAACTGAAATAATAATTACCTTACACCTAGTGAACACTAGTCGACTCTCAAGATCAGCGACAGAAAGCAACGGTTTACCGTCACCAGCTAAACCCATCAAACCTGAACCAGCAGTTACGTCTTGATAACCACTCTGAAATATAACAGTGTCAATAAGTACCTATATAAAACTCAGTGGTTGTGGACAATATTATGTATGAAGATCTATTATTGTATAATATGATTTTAATAACTCATTGACATTCCATTATTGGATACAGGTCTTGTTCCTAAAAGCTTGGTATTACCATGCTGGCCTAATTTTGTTTGGTATAGTTATAAACTAAGTGGCCAATCAATCAGTATTCTCAGCTGGGAATAAGTGGAACGTGTTAAATATGTGCATTATAAACGGAAGTTCCTTTTAAGAGCCTTATGCTCCTGATGAGGGATAACAGGAAGACATCATGAACATCCCCTTAAATTTTTAAATTATTTTGTACGATACAAGAATTTAAAAGTAACTCTAGAGATTCTTTCGAGTTTTTCCCGGCTGATTACATTCGAAACATAATAGAAGAAGTTTTAATTGGACATAGAAATGTTGTTATTATGTTTATTGAAATAAAATATATAATTATATATACCAATTTTTAGTTATAACTTTGTTTGATTAATCAGGATATACTCCATATCCATGTTATCCTTATATATATATATATTTTATATATCTAAATATCTATATACTCTTTCCTGAATAGTATATGCATGCCAAATTTCATAGTTAGCTTCCCAAAACGTAACAAAAGACTTTATTTCATAAATATAATATTTATTTATGTATTGTAAAACATTTCTAATTTACCTACCTTTTACCTACGAATTGTACTAACCTGTAACTGCTCAACAATAACTTGTAGCTGTTTCTTTTCTAACTGATCATAAGGCCCCGCTCCGCCTGCCGCTGCGGCCGATCTCATCAACCTCAACAACTCCCGGAACTGTTCTAAGGGTTTATGTACTAGAGACGTGATGTCAGGCCTTCTTCGGGGTATGGGTGGGCTCGTGCAGAACCGAGAGAATGCACCGCTTGGGTCCTTTGATTTCTTTACCTAATAACAGATAAAACTAATAGTAAATACGAATAATATCGTTCTAATTATCCTTCGAATACAAAATTGTTTTGATGTCAGTTCATCTGGGAGTGATTAGCAAAAAATAGCTTAGATTTTGTTTCTCAAACGATACAGTCAAACGAAGCACCATTAAAACCTACCAAAACGCAGTCAGCTCTTTTCAATCCTAGACAATATTTCTTATAAAGGCTAAGGAACACAGGGGTCTTCTGAAGATACACCGCAACCACAGTCGATGACTGAATTTCGCCGTCGTATTGAACGATTTGGTCTAAAACATCTTCTGATAATCTGAAGATCTGCGAACAAAAAGTTTGCTTTAAAATTTGAGAATATTAATTTATTTCAATTATCTACCTCTTTGGACTTGAGATGTAACTATACTTTTTAAACCAAATAAGCATATTGATTCCTTTGATGGTAAACGTTTCGCGTTTCCTATAAACGTTTACAATACATTGCTGTACTAGTACCGTTTGCTGTGATTGTTATTTTTATTTCAAACTCTGAAGGAGTCTAATTATAATATACTTCATTAAGACTATTATGTGTCGATAGATCATAATCAGACCAAACCATATCACAAATACTTTTAGATCTATACTGATCATTGAAGGTTGTTATTTGACTCAAAGTATGTTATATACCGATTATAATTGGTGAACCTAGAATAGAGAGTTAGGCTCCATTTGCAAAGTAATATTCAAATATACTCGGGGAGTTATGAATAAGCCAATTATGTTCAACACAATGGTAACATTTCTTAGTTACAAAAGGCAGTTCCAACCTTGTGCCAATTGCTTTTTATAGGCCTTTTAGTTTTAAACTAGGGAGTGCTAAAGAACAATGAAACATATCGTCTAGTCGTCTATTAAATTTGTCATTACATTTTGTTATCACTTGAAGTCTAAAATAAAAATAGGAGTATACTTATCAAGAAATCATTAAGAAACTAAATTGAATAAAATATATTTGCATACCTCTTCAATATTTTGAAACAGAAGTTGATGATCACTAGGAGCTATCAGGTCAGCTCTTTCAGCCAACGGGGAGACGAATCGCACCAGGCCAAATTGCAAACAGGTGGCGTAGTGTTGTTCCCTCGCTATGACGGCTAGAAGTGCCCGCCTTCTGCCGTCCGTCGACAGCCCTGGTGTCTGTTGGTGGAAGTCCTTATAAGGTAAAAACTTGATTAGGTATTGAATTTTATGAAATAGTACAAACTTTACTCAATGAGGACGAAGACGAGCTAGCAAATCAAGTTACTTCAAGAGTCAGTTTGCTTGTTTTTTTTCTTTAATACCACTGAAATGTCAAACAAGCTGCATGTTTATTAGCACTTCAGTGGTATAAAATATGTAATGGCCTACCTAATGGCAAGTGTTCGCTGGCAAGCCGTAGCTCATGATTGTCCATTGTTCTATTATTTATTTTATTGTATAACTTGTCAACTACTACTGTTTTCATTTCTCTTTTATTGTAAGTGGTCACTGTAGCCTATGAACGCCTGCAATACTACGAGTGTTAGGTGCGTGTTGCATTGTTTGAAGTATTTGCATTAAAATTACAGGGTACCTCTTTAGGCCTTGAGAATGACTAGGATATGAGGATGAAGTCTGTATCCATGTCTACAACTATCGTCGTACTGTCCATGAGTTATAGAGCCTCGAGCCTCATAGACGGGTCAACTAATTATCAAATTAGCTGACTCGATTTTTTTTATCAATATTCTATATACTTACGTATACGATGAATCTTGACGTATTATATAATAAATTAAACGAGTATTTACGTATTAAAATGATGCAGAAATTATAAGACAACATAAATATAGAAGTTATAAATCACCCATAACTATTTATCACGCAAAATTGTATGAAAAACTTAACCCGCTATTCTCGAAGCATTTGTATGGAGACACTGTATTTATATAATCTAAGGTGTCTTTGGCTGTGTCTTTATCTAATGCATAGATTATTGTGTTCTAGGTCAATAGTTCCATGAAGGTTGAATACTTTTGCCTCGGGAGCGACATCAGTCGTTACCATGGTCGGTTTAACCTGGCCAAAATGACGAGATAATCCAGGTAAATTATTATAATTTACATAAACTGTGTTAATTCCCGTCTCTTTTAAACTATTAACCATGCAACGCGAAAGTATAAAAGTTAGTAGGTTGAATATTACGATAATGAAAAAGAATATATATATATATATATATATATATATATATATATATATATATATAATATTCTTTATATTTATGTATATATATTATAATAATTTTTTATGTTATTTATGCATATAATATTTATTGTGTATAGGTATACATTATTAGGTGTTATTTCCTTTACCTATTCCAATAATGAAATACCGCTTTCATGACTCACTGTTCATCCCAAAGATTGACTGGTAGAGAATGCTATCAGCATTAAGTCGTTTTTTCTACCATATTTCCTTTTGGTCAATAAAATTATTTAAATAAATTAAATAAACCGCAATTTTTTGGTCTCAATAATTCTTATATTGAAGAAATGCATTCATTTTCAATAATTTTATGACTTTAATAATGTTACTGTATCTTTTCACATATTTTTTCTAAGCTTTCATTATGTGTAATTTTATTTTTAACGAAAGAGAATAGAATGGTAATTCTGCCTGTGCCATCGGTATACGCTAGCGGGGCGCCAGTGAGAGATGATAGGTGACGATGAAGGCAGGACAATTGGTCTATCGTGAAGAATTCAACAAGAATTATTTACGATGGTTTCCAGGGGAACTTTTTTTATTCCTTTCCCCCCAATTATGTGCACTCAGGTGGATTTGTTATCTATAGAAACACTGATGGATATTTCAGTAATAATGTGATTAATTTACTTATGATTAATTATATTGATGGGGGAAAACTGAATTCATTTATTTTGGTGAAGATTAAAGCTCGCTAACGTACCGGAGCCTTTATTTCTTTCACGGCCTCGATGTTACAAGTAAGTGCAGTAACTTATCGTTTTATTGTAAATGGTGTATTTACCATCTTTTTACTTTAATTATATAAGTCTTAGTAGTAGTAATAATATTAACCAACTATAGTTATAATATTGCGGTGTGGTCCCGGAGTAAAAAGGGCTAGCCCTTCCTTTCTCGTAAGAGGCGACTAAGGGAACTTAATCGTTGAGGTATAGGCAGCTGAGTCCCTCTTAAAGCATCTCTAAAGCCTAGCTGGAGTTGCCAAGCGTGGCAACTACTGGCATACCCCCCTTATTGGGGAGGCCTATGTTCAGCAGTGGACAATAAACGGCTGATATGATAATTATAATAACTTTCTCTTAAATAACTTTTTTTATAATAATATCAGTCAATTTAGAGAGTTGTATGTACATTTGCATAAAGATTTATATAAAAATCTGAATCTATGTATGTAAACGATTATTATCACGTTTGTCTTAATTATATTAAGAACTATTTAAGGTAACACGTGGATGGGAAAAAAGAAACAAAAGAAAATCAAAATAAAAGCAATAAATGTATTTGCACTTAATATTATGAAACATAAATTAAAATAATGATAACAGGAACCAATTTAAATACGGAGTTTCAAGAAAATATAAATTAAAAGACAAATTGTTTTAAAAATAAGAAATGTACAATTACACAAAAAAAAAGTGTGAAATACCAGAAGGTAAATGTAAAATTAATGAACAAAAACAACACGCGAAAGTCTTATACGAAGAAAATAAATAGTTAAACATTAACAAAATAAATATTAACAAAAACAATAAGCTTAAACGTAACACTTTCCCCATTTAATGAATTTGATTTAATTATACAATGAAAATATAAAATCTAAACTACAAATTGTTACACAAGGATAGATTGACGAATCATATAAAATTACTATTTAAAAATAGTGGAATGTACGAAGTCTATGCTAGGATAGGACTATACAAAATAAATAATAAAACACACGACCAAACTGTACATAGGTTTATGAACATAACGGCGAGAGCACATGCAAACTTGACGGCCAGAAGTTCAATACTAGCACCACTTTCTTGAATTTGGAACTCCAATTCTAAATTCGAATTACATAAATTCTATTCCAATCAATTTGATTGTAACCAAAAATACTGATTTGGTGAAAATATAAACATGAGTTGACTAAATTAGGCGTTGAAAATAAAAGATGTAATTGGGCGAGGTTATTTAATTGACCAAGTTGATTAGAATAGATGTACAGATGACTAGTATGCCACATTTTTTCAATTGTAACCTAAGGAACTACACTATGATGCCATTACCAACCTCTTTGGAAAAGGTGACTTGGGGTAAGTGCAGTTTGCGTCGGTCAAGAGACTGGCTAGTAGAGGAACAAGCTGTCGGGGGTCGAGCAGCCGTTGCTGGCGATGCTAAGGCGGCAGCACGGGGTGATCGTGGTGGCGGTGGTGGTGTAGACTCGGGAGGAGGGATGGTCACTTGTGCTAATCTCGCTCGTACACCTGCACCGTTCTGAGGAACTCTTCTGAACGTCTCTATTGTGAGCAATTGGCCAGCAGATCTGTAAAGATGTGATATTTGAAAATGACAATCAAACAATCGACTAAAATAAGAAGTTCAGTTTAATAATGTTTGATTTTGCATAATTTTGAAATATTTATGTCCTAATGTATGCGACTCGAGAAATCTACTAATGTAATAATATTTATCTTAGGTATGTAAACACAAAGTTGCGCTGTCTCCGAAGACAAATGCTAGGTTTCAAGACTTAAACTCTTTATATTTTTATAGCTCGAAAGAAGAATCAGTTAAAAGTAACGGTAAAACAAATTTGGCCTATCATCGTCTTTAATTTTGACGAGGACAGTAAGTCAATTACGGGTAAGGATAATTGTTTTCTAGCCATGAAAACGAAGATCTTTATATTTCGCTAGGTGAAGCGTAAGTCTATCCGAAAATAAAACCTTTTCACTTATTTATGTAGGTAAGTGCTAGAAGATATAACGAGGTAAAACAACTTACTTAACAAGATTCCTCACGTCTTCCTCAGTAGCTGTCACCACATTTTTAGTACCAACAAAAACAATGTAATCCCCAGCTCTCAGTCCCGCACGTTCAGCTGAACCGCCAGCTGCGACCCTTTCAACTCTTGGAGGTCGGGTCCAGACAACAGTGAAGCCGAAGCCACCCCCGGATCCTCGGACCAGTCTGTTAAAAATGTAGAATGTTGAATATAAGTTGAATGTACAAGTAATATATATATTTATATCAGTAATTATGTATTAATGTATTCGATGACTAACTGATGACAATGATAATCAAACAGTTTATTCGACGTGTAGTTATGTCACATCTTTCTTTGTCGTGGGCATCGTAAGAGGCGACTAAAGGAACTAAATGGTCGAGGAATGGGCAGCAGCGTCCTTCTTAAAACATTACCAAAACTTAACTGCGGTTGCCAATCCGCTCGCCAAGCATGGCAACTACTAGCAAGAGTTTCGTTATGGGAGAGGTTTATGTTCAGCAGTGGAGCAGTTAACGTCTTATGTGATATTCAATGGCATATTTGTGGTCATAAAAAAAGGAATAATGTAGATGATATTAGTAAAATATTTGATGAACACAGCAGAGTAAATATTGCGGTATCAGAGTAAATTACTGTTTATTTAGGAGCGTTCACTGTCATCTCGTATACGTAACTAGTAGGAGGTCTGTTTGCTAGGGAGGCTTAGCTGCTTAATCTGCTTTATTGGTTAAGGTAGTTGGTGCCTTGTTTGAGGTATAACAGGCCAATTATAAATGTATTGTAAATGCATGGGAAATACTCTCACCAGTCGAGTACTTCTTTTGATGTTCATAATATTGATCTTATGAAAGACTATTGATTTTATGCAAGATTTCTATACAAATGTACTATATGTGGAATATTTTTACTTATATTATAAATGTGAAAGTAAGTTTGTTTGTTTTACTTTATAGCGTCCTAACAGCTTAACTAGCTAGTATAAAATTTGTTACACATGTAGTATATGGGATGGAAAAGGATATAGGCTATATTTTATCACGGTCAGTAAATATATCCCGCGTGACACGCGGGTGAAATCGCAGGTTTTGAAAATTGGACTCGCATTTCCGCACTAAACCTCCCATTTGGGCCGTTGTACGTGTCACGCGGTCAAAAGTTAGCATTCTCAGGTAAAAGCTAGCATTTTTAGTATATGCTTTATATTGGTATTGCTCCAATATCTATATATTGGGTTCTTTTGGACATTGATGGCGGAAAAGGTCATCACCCATTTGGATATCGCCCGTACCGATCGGATATCTATATTAATTTCGATCGGGTTTTTCATGTCGACAATAAATATTGGATAACACGTTTAACATATTCGTTATTAGGCCAATACATAGATATTGGAACTAAAATATATAGATATTGCTATATATTACTCATCCCTAGTACGCCACTTGCATCTTTATTTACGTAGTTTTATATCTACTTAATTGCACAACGAAATAACTCGATACACGGTGATAACTTTTGTTACTACTTACTAAGATATTTTATAATCTCTAAATTTTTGTCATTTTGTAATTGACAATAAGTGTCATTGTAGTCATTTATACTAATATATATAATTGTCATACAATAAGGTTAGTTTACCAGAGGGAGACTTTGTACAAAAGTCGATTGCTTGGGTACCTCTGTCCCATTCGTGTTTTAACCGTGAAGCAGTTGTGTTTGCATGACGGTGTTTCGGTTTAAAGAGTGGGATATGGCGTGAATTTACTGGGTACAGAGGAATAACACCTGAGTCCTCAGGAATGGCAACGCATGGGGGGTATCATGAGCGAAACAGTATACTCTGTTATGTCCATGGTACTGCTCATGTCTATAGGCGACGGTTATCACTTTCCATCAGGTGGACTGTCAGCTTGGTTGCCATTCTAAGTTGTATAAAAAAAAAGTTTGTTAATACAATCATCAATAAATTATTTTTTATTTCAAAAGGGTCAGCTTTTTTTAAACTGGGCCTTACTTTCTGGTGGTAGTGAAAGGAGTGCGGCCATTTCTTTGTGCTCTCCGGGGTGCCGCTGGGTCTTCAGGTGGGTCCAGTTCCAGATACCGGAGGAACAGATGTTCATCAGCCTCCCGTTGTAGTGCCGCAGCTACCGTTTGAGTTTGATTCGTGGCATTGGCTGATGATGGACCATTTGTGGCCATACCTGAAATATCGACCAAAATTACAATTTATATTTGTTTGCTCATTGCACATCATAGTTGGAGTTCACTCCCGGGAAAGATGCAGAAAGCGGTGCTCTTAGATTCTGCCCGCATTGTACGCCGGTCTCTCTCCCTGGGGCCCTGAACCTCGGTCGACTGTGCTTTTGCCGGGGGCTAGTTTGCCATCTCCTCTCCTTAAGAGGGGAGATGTAAATTTTCTAAAAATTTAAATAATAATAAATCTCTTTATTTTCAGGTATATACCCATAGTTTAGTTATTACATTATTAAACAAGATTTAAAATAATTACCTATACTTGGAAAAATACTTTTATGTCTGTCCAAATGTGAATTGAGCAATTTTATTTTGATAGACACACTAACAGTAATAATGGTCTCGACTCAATAATTGCTTTCTTTTGAACTTATATCAATTTAGTAATACTAGACCATAACTATTTAAAATTGAATCCACTATTAAGAAAGGAATCAAGAGGTCCAGAATTGGAGTGCGTGCATGAGATATAAAAGTAGATGAAGCAAGAAATGGGTATAAGAATTATGGCATTAATCACTCGTAATTTACCAGAGGGAGACTTTGTAAAAAAGTCGATTGCTTGGGTACCTCTGTCCCATTCGTGTTTCTACCGTGGACCAGTTGTGTTTGCATGGCTGTGTTTCGGTTTGAAGGGTGGGATATGGCGTGATTTTACAGGGTACAGAGGAATAACACCTGAGTCCTCAGGAATGGCAACGTATGGGGGGTATCATGGGCGAAACAGTATACTCTGTTATGTCCATGGTACTGCTCATATCTATAGGCGACGGTTACCACTTTCCATCAGGTGGGCCGTTACCTTGTTTGCCATTCTAAGTGTATAAAAAAAATAAAAAAAATCTTGCCAGTAGATAGAAAAAGAACCTACATGATGGAAGCGATTTTTACTTTCGAAAATTTTATATACTAAAGTATTAAAATTCTGAAGATAAATTAAGGTATTTCATTCTAGAATGAACGTTAATATTAATGTCATAAAAATGGTATTAACTTTTGTCGTTGTGATTCTCCTTGGTGCCATCGTTGGTGCTTTCTATGTTATCAGTAGCCATTTTGCGTTGCCCTTCAGTCACGCGGTCGTCTCTGCCCCTGTCATTCGTGTGCGCCGGCGCACCTTGCCGGCCGGTACCTTGCAGGAAGTACGTGCCACTGATGTCGCTGTTAAGTGCATCTTTCAGCGGGAACGAGACACATCCTAGAAACTCGCTCCGACTATAACAAGAAGAAAAAATGAAATTAGAAAAGATACAATTAAGAAATCTAATTGTGAGAACAATAAAATAAATACAGATAAAAAAAATCGAAACACTGATAGAAATTTTATTCGTTTAAAAAATGTAAAAATCTGATATATATATATATATATATTCAATAATCTGTTATGCTTGGATTTTTTAGAGTTACAAACGCCTTGATTAAAATAATTTGCAGTATTTATAATTAATAATATTGAATCGTGCTACTGTTTTGCCATATGTCTAGTCCATTTGAAAACAATAAACATTGAAATAAAATATAATTTAAAAAGGTTTACAGTCAATAAGCGGTAAAAGAATTTAAATAACTCTTTTTTCTTTCGAAATGAAATCTATTCAATAAATCAGAAGAAGATTTTATTACTTTATTATAAAAATGCATCTAAAAGATTGAGACGAGACGAGAAATGGTCGAAAGTCAAAATAACTGTGTATCTCTGAGCCAAGATTAATGTGAAATAAATATTCGTCTGTATTGAAGACAGTGAGTCATCGAAAACAACCGACCCTAATGTAGCATGACTAAGGTCTTAGGCTACGTAGATAAATTGCGCCACGTGTTTATCAGTAAATATAGGCTACATGTCTTACGATCATTTTCTGACATACATTTGTTACGTCATTTGATGCTTTATGTTTTCATCCTTATATTATAATAGTACTTTCAATTTATTTACAATAGGAAAGGCAAAGAAATTAAGCCATACAACTGTTTTACAGTAAAAAGAACAAAAATTTTTACTGTGGATCTACAAATATCCATGTTTTAACAAAGAAAAGTTGCCATATCTTTTTAAGGATTCTTTGGAATGGCCACAAGCTCTCTTATCCCTTTCCTTAATATCTTAAATAATGAACATAAAATTCTATATACACATAGCATTAGACATATGTAGATTATTTTTATTCCAGCCATAGAGGATAGCTAGTATAGTAGATGATAAAACGAGGCTTTTTATTCCCATTTCTTTTCCTTTTTCTAAATTCCTGTGAACGCCTCCTAATAATCAGGTCACATATAATAATAATGCAATGTCATTGTGATTATGTGTGAAAATTTCAAATATTGATACAAAATCTGATTCCATAGTTACATTGCAAGTTTTAGATCCAATAGTTGGATCAAAAATGATATTAATGGAAGCTTACAAAGACAGTTATTTTTTTCCAAGCGTAGTTTTAAATAGTATATTATTAGTAGTTTTAAATAGTATATTTTAAATAGTATCTTTAAATAGTACAAAGTTGCTGTCTGCGTTTGTTTTTCCGCTTACTTCTTCTAAATAACGGATATTGATACGGGTTTCACTGCTATTTAGATATTGTTTTACAGAAGTGTGTGCAATTATTACCCGTGTTTAGTTAGGGCGAGTTACTAGCTGTCTAAATATTTAATATTGTAATAAATAAGAACGATGGTATTAAACAACTCAAATGTATCAGATTTTAAGAAATCATAATCTCTTTGAACTCGATTACCGATGACATTGACCTCATCGTTGAATTAGCACCGTGACTTGCTAGAACTGGTATGCAAGTTTCGTGCGATATAAACCCTCGCGTGTTTACGTGAACCGGGGGAAAGTTCAGTCGACCTTGCTCCGGAACCATTGATCCAGCAACTGCGCTCCTGCCAAGTGGACTTGCCAAGTCTGCGGTATTGGAGCAAACAGATTTTAAACGTTGACAGTTATTTGGCAATACTATATGTAGCTTTTCTTTTCTCGTGTCAAACTTAGTATAAATTGACTTTTATTTTAGTTACAACTTCATTTTAAACAATTTTAAAGGGCTATATAAACCAAATGTTGTATAAATTTACCCAGCTTGAGAGAGGCCACTAACCAGAAGTGGACTATCGTGGGATGATAATGATGATGTAGCAAATGAAAATAGCTTTCCTTGATGTTCAATTCTTACTGATCGCTGGGGACATATTGTCAAACCTTTTTTTTAGTCCGAAAATAATGTTTTTGTCATATTGATTAATAATATTTTGTACATGTTATATACATTAATACATATGTATGTATACATATGTATTAGTAATTCTACTTTTTATTGGATTTTGTTACTTTTAAAATCAATATCTATAGTTAATTATCTAACAAAATCGAGTCCTCTTCAGATGTCATGAGAAATTGGAGTCTGATAAGAAATCTTGGATCAAATTGCTTCTTGCAACTAATTACGTAATACTGTGTTTTCATATATTCGATCACGATGAATCGATGGTAATTAAGTCATCGTCATTTAGGTTTACTAGATTAAAAACATGGAAGTTGATTTCCATGAATTAGAATTTAGATTATTGATGATTTTTGATGATGAAATTGAATATATGTACTTCATTAAAAGTATATATGTTATTGATTGCAAAACTGTTTACTATGACAGACTTTCTCGTAGATACTTATTGAAAGTATGTAGTTAGTTTAAATCTATCATATATGGAGGGGAATTTATATGACTGCTACTAAATCTGCATCTATCTTGGCATATGCATGTGCAAGTCTCGTTATATCCAGTTAAGGGTAAATTAATTGGCCAGTAATTGTCTCATTTCCTTACTGAAGTTGGAAATTCCGTATTGAATTATTCGATAATTGGTTTAGTTTTAATTTGTCTTCGCAGTAAGCGTTTGAAGGCCTCGTAAAATTGTTATAGTAAATGTAATATAGTAATTTCACTTTGAATGTATTTTCGAAATTATGAAACGGTTTGAACGCGATAAAAAACAGTGGCAATTATGAAACAAGTATTGAAAATTAATAATTTTTTTTCAGTACAGGGGGCAAACGAGCATTCAGCTCATCTGATGGTAAGTGACTACCATCGCCCATGATCATGGGTGATCACCCACAACATCAAAGTCATTGCAGGTGTGCTGCCGGCCTTTTAAAAAGGAATATGCTCTTTTCTTGACGGTTATGATGTCGTATCGGTTCGGAAATAAATTATTGTTTGATCCATTGTATTATTAAATCTATTATATTTGTTTGACTTCTTCAAAGTAGAATGGTTTATTACTGCCTATATTACGTGCATAATTGTCAAGTAATACGGTATGTTTTATAACAGCTTTGTAATTAATCTATCATCGATTACATACACATTGTCTTTACAAATATGAACTTGTGCAATTGTTGTAACTTGGTTATGTTTTAAGTATCTAGTACTCTATACTCTTTTTATAGCATACCAGTGACCCGTCCCGGCTCCACGCGGAGGCAATGCGCTAAATAGCGCCGTCGTCCCTGCATTTTAAATCTGACATCAATATTTATATAATACTAACGTCACTCAATTATTTTACCTTCCCGGAACCTCTCCACTGACAATTAAACTTTATGGTATGGTATTAAAGTTCAAATTGACTTTTAAGTATTATTACGAATCGTTTGTATGGGAGTACAGAAAAGTGTTGTTTTTGGAATTTTTTAAAATTTCCTCTCCGTAAGAACTACTTCTCGTACTCCGAGGATATTCTAAAAAAAAAGAATTAGCGAAATCGGTTCAACTATTCTCGAGATTTGCACTTAGCAACACATTCAGCGATTTTTTTTTTAATTATAGATTAGCAATACGTTGCAGTATCAATTGCTTTATTTTCGATCCTTTAAATGATTCATATCATCATTACTTTAGGATTGATTATCTGATTGATATCCAGGAGTTTAAAATGCTCTATTATTATGTTTATTAAATAACTAATATGTATATAGGGCATAATTAGCACGTAGCGTGTGTCTATTGAAGATTATTATCAAATGACTGATGACGATGTTGAAATAAATAGATATAATTGTGACAAATTAGGTGTCCCCTGTTACATTACGTGTAGTATGACGTTATAATGTCATTCGTTGCTGTGTTCATTTTAATATTATATTCAGACATTACTGGTGTTAGTTTCTTGAAATTCTTCTTTGAAAGCCATTTGTGCATTGTAGCATTTAAAACCTCGAGTGGAACACGTGTCTTCTTATACAATTTTGTATATTCATATTAGAGAATTATTGTTACGTTATAGAAAATATCCAGTTCTTAAATTAACATTGATATATCACAAATTATACACACATCTATAAAGGGTATTCGTGCAAGGTCCGCCCCTAAGGTCTCACAGAAGCTGCTAAGCATGCAAGGGGGCCAGTCCCGAAAAGCCTTCCTTCTTCGTCTCTATTGGAGTGCGTTCCATGCTTACTAGAGTGACTGGGGACACCGATAGGTCACTTACGGGGATGGTTGTCACTCTTCTTCAAGGATAGGTGGACTTGGGCTGTGTGTGTTATCCTTAACTCTGTCGAGGATATCGGCCGGCAGGCTGTTTTTCCTTTGCCTCGTTTCTGGGGGGTCCCATTCTGGGAGGCTATTCTTTCTGCACAGTTGGACGTGGCGGTGTGTGTGCTGGTGGGAGCAGTGCTGCCGAGGTGGGGGGGTCTCTCGGCGGGTCTGACTCAGCCCCGCAACGGTTTGGGATACGAATGACATCTTCGCCAGATTCAAACAAGATTTTTAGGTTGTACTGCAAAAGTGATAGACAATTTATCAACGAATCTTTAAGAGTGCAATTTTCACTAAGTTCACATAACAAAGTCATGCTTTAAAAAGATTTAAATTTTTTTATAAACTAGTGTTGATTAAAGAAGGAGTCTCCGAAATAACAATTGGCGAAAATCGAGTTGCAGACATAAAGAATTTGTATTATATTTATTTTATTCAATATTTCAATTTGGGTTAACAAAATTTATAGTTTTGTAATTTTTTGCAAATCCGAAAATCATTGACTCGACAAAGATAAAACTTGACTATGTTTTTTGTTTCAAGTTAATTGAATCGAGCTGTGTACATTTTCGAAAGAATAAATGAAAAAAAAATAACCAAAACAGTCGAGCTGAGAGATTCCTTCATTTTGGAGTCTTGTTAAAATCAAACAACTGAAACTTTCGAACT